GAACGTCAGCAAGACTGAAGCCCTCCTGATTGGCTCCCGTGTCTGCGGAGGATGTCACCAAGGAGGAGCATGTAAAGGGTAAAGAGGAGGGGACCGAGGACAGAGCCCTGAGGAACGCCGCATGAGACAGTGCGGGGGCTGGAGGAGAAGCCGTTTGCAGAGAGAGGGCAGGCTGGAGGTGGTGTGAAAGGTAGGACCTGAGCCAGTCGAGGACAGAACCTTGACGGTTGAGGTGGCAGGAGAGGCGGTGGAGGAGGATTGAGTGGTCCACAGTATCAAAGGTGGCGGAGAGTTCGAGGAGGACGAAGAGGCAGAGGGAGCACTGGTCACACGTGGTCAGGATGTCATTTGTGACCTTGACCAGAGCAGTTACTGTGCTGTGGGCAGCATGGAAACCCGATTGGAGGGGCTCATGGAGGGAGTGGGAGGAGAGGAAAGAACGAAGCTGGGAACCGACGACTCTCTCAAGGACCTTAGATAGAAAAGGGAAGTGGGAGATGGGCTGGTAGCTGGATAGCTGTGATGGGTCAACGGAAGGTTTCTTCAAGGTGGGGCTGATAGTGGCTGTTTTGAGGGGGTTAGGAGCAGTGCCAGATGACAGGGAGAGGTTGATGATGTCGGCTAATAGTGGAGCAAGGAGGTGGAGCTGGGATTTAAAGAGAGGGGTGGGAATGGGGTCCAGGGAACAGGTGGTAGACTTCATGGAGGATATGGTGGTGATGATAGAGGAGGGGGTGACAGGTTCAAAGGTGTGGAAGTGGGGGATGGGTAGTGGTCGGAGTGTGGTGGGGAGGGTATGGAGGGGTGGAAGTTGGGAGGGCAGTGGCAGCTGAACGGATTCCCTCGATTCTTCTAACTATTCCCAATCATGTGCCTCTGACTCAATCTTTGAATACCATCCTTACTGCATCAATATGCCATTATCCATTTCCCACATATGGTATCCTTGTGTTCTCATGGAGTAAGATTGCCTGGGTGGGAGCACTGTAATTGTGTTACTCTGGTAGCTTTTGTTTAACTAAATATCAGATTGGGAAAAGAACAGTAATTTAGCATTCAGCCACAGGTCTTGGACTCTGCTGTGGTGTTTTCAGCATATTCTGCCGTGAAAGTGGCTGTGCTTTCAGTCACTAAGCCCGAAGCTCTGGAACTCTCTCCCCCAATCCCTCTGCCTTGCCCCCTCCCTCTCCACTTTTAAATTCTGCCTAAAGACCATCCTTTAGATCATGCTTATGGTCACCTCTCTCTCTCCCTGGCTCGTAGTCATACTTCGCCACTGTCAAGCACTCCGGGATGCTACCCTGTGTGAAGGGCGCTACATAAATGTAAGTTGTTGTTATACTTTACAGCTAATAAGGAGGCTGCCATTCCACTTTCAGTGCTTCCACATAAATTCACTCTGTGCTGGTGCATGTACTACCTAAATGCAGCATAGATGGTTCCTAGATCCTCAGACACAATCACTGAAACAAAGCAATCGTTCCAATGTCCTTGTGAGTGGGAGAGAGTGGAAGGAGAGGACGAATCTTACAAGACTCCATTGTGAATAGCAATTAAAAAAATTAAAATCTATCCCTGAATGTCTGAAAATGTGACTAGATATTCACAGATGGTTAAGCACATTGTTAGTGGGTAACCAGAGTTCTTTTATTTCGATTTAAAAACAAAGGTCTGCCTTTTATCTGACTGCACAATCTGGAACTGTCATGTGCTTTTAATCAGGGGGAATGATTAATCAAATTGAATGTACTGAATTAGGAAATGGAATGTAAACAAAAGCATGTTTGAATGGTTTTATTCAAAATTGTTGTTAATTTGTTCTTCTGACTAAAAAAATCTTAGTCTACTTTGCCTCAAATAATATATTCATTTTAAAATATTCATTTTATTTGCTGCCTCTTATTTTAAATTTCTGATATCACATATTATTTGTGACTGAGCGTGTCCCCTGCTGCCTAATTTCTCCTTCCTCTGCTGAACATGTGTGTGTGTGTGTGGGGCGGGGGGGTCACTCATGCTCGAGTGTGATTTCTGCGAGCCAAGACAAAGAGGATTGATGGGAATCTGAGAATCTCAGCCGAGCTCAATCCTCACTCGACACCCATACCCTCAGAATTACCAAATACGATCATTGGCTAACAATCAGGAATTGAAACATTGGGAGATTCGACTGCCCCCCACCACAGGCCTGGGAATACTGAGGCCAATTGCAGTAGCCCTCAACACCACCCAAATGAATGTTGATCCCTCTTAATATTTATGACTCAGTACAACACCATGCACTATATTTACCCACTGAGCCATTCGACATTCCTTTTCTTTCCTTTGTAGGTGCCTTGTGTCATGGTCAATTTGCTAAACAGATCACTCCCACCCTCGCTCGCCTCCACTGGCTGCCCATCCCCCAGAGGATTGAGTTCAAGATCCTCATCCTCACCTACAAGGCCATTCACGGCCTTGCTCCCTCCTACCTCTCCGACCTACTATCCCCCTACCCACCTGCCCGTACCCTCCGTTCCTCTGGCTCCGGTTTGCTCCACATCCCCCGCCCCAACCGCCCTACCATCGGTGGCCGGGCCTTCAGCCTCTCAGCCCCTAGGCTCTGGAACTCTATCCCCCAGAGCCTTCGCCGCCTCCTCCCTTTCCTCCTTCAAGACCTTTCTTTTTGACCATACCTTCAGCTCCCCTCTCGACTCTCTACCACTTCCTCGCTCCCTCCCTTCCCTCCCCTCACCCTGACCATTTCCCCCCTGCTCGGGTCCTGACTCAACTGTACAGAGCCTTGGGTCGTCCTCCTGACGTGAAAGGCGCTCTATAAATGGAATCTTGTTGTTGTTGTTGTTGTTGTAAAGGGAAAACTAGTAAAGTATTCATTGTCTTCAGCCAATGCTCCTCTTCATCTGGTAACCAGATTTGTGGAATCCCTGTACATCTAAAGCCATGATTTGGGGATGAATCTAGCTCCATCCTTGTCGCATTAACATGAATGGAAATTTATCATAATGGGGAATCACAGCAAATTAACCCACATTTTACCATTTTGACCAACAAATGGATTGAAACTATTGGGATTTGTAGTGTGCAGAACCCAACAGTCATGGTGTGCAAATTAATCCACAGTGCGACTCGGTTCCCCAAGAATCTTTCTTTTTAGGACCGGCTGTGTTTCTTAACAACATTCCTTACCAACAACTCAAGAGTCATAAATGGGGACTCTTTCTTGTTACTGAAAGTATGTCACGCTGACCCACAAAATCTCCACTCTGGGTGTGGATAATGTGAAAGTATTTGATTAAGGAATCCTGTTAAGAAATACTCCAATTCAAACCATTGTTTCTGTCAGTGCCTCTAGACCACATAGTGTAGACATAAATACAAAATTGGACTGGGATTGAAGAAAGAGCTTGCATTTTATTAAGTTGTACTACTGTGAAACATCTCAAAGTGTTTAAGATAGTACAGTTTGATTTTAGAAGTGGGAATGCAACATCTGAAGGTGTATTTGGTTTAAGAATCATTTTTAATTGAGAAATAAAGAGAGAAATGGAATCATAGATTATTAGAAAGTGTTGACATTATACAGAATGATTCTCTAAATATTGGTAGCCAAAAGTAGTGAAGACAGAAAAAACAGGAAGCAACACATGCAAAAGACATTTCAAACAAGCCTTTGAGGCCTGGGTGGCACATCTACAACCTGTACAAGCTTGTATCACTTTTGTTGGGGTTGTGCCACTAAAGGTGAGGCGTTTTTGCGCACAATGGCATGGCTGTATCAGTTGAGTAAGGTGATAATTGATAACCTACTTGGAGCACAGGAAGTTAATGTATACTTGATATTCACCACATAAAAAATTGATGGCAGAGGCAGAGCTGTTGAGAAAGCAGATGTGAATATGTTTCAATAAAAGTGGCTAGAGAAGTTGGAGCACAAAGTATATTGCTACTGGTGCGCCCTTTTTTTCCACCTTTCCTTAAGGTAATGACATATCTGATTTCACAGGGACTGGTTACCAAGAATTTATGATAAGCCTAGCTGCCTCAATGCCATATGCGGTAAAGGTACCACCCAATGTAGTATTACTGTAAAGATCAGCTATTTGTGCCTAGCAATATGAACTCAATGCCCCCAATTTAATATGAGTATATCCTTCACACATAAAAATCAAAATGTTTGCAATGACTAATTGTTAAAAATAATATTTTGGTATTTACATTTTATAATGTTAAATTTAGTTAAAAACAGATCTGCCCCAAGATTACACGTTTACACCAAGCATGTTTCTTATATAATAAAAATAATAATCCTTGCATTTGACATAGCAGCTTATCAAGTCATTGAGAAATCTCAAAGCGCTTTCACAGAATATATTGTTAAAAGTGGATTTTGTAGGTGAAACGTGGCAACCAATTGTGCACAGTGTTGTCCCACAAACAATCATGGATTGAGTGACCAATTTTTTTGTTTTTGGAGGGATTATCAATCGACTAACCGGGTTCTTACTTACAGCGAGGTAAACAGGCGTGTGAGGCATGGAAACTTGGCTAAGGTATCACCCCACCTGAGAATCAAACCGGGATCCTCTTGCATGCTGGACTCAACGTATGTTCATGGATGTCCTTTACCTATAATAATAATATTCCTTGCATTTGATATAGCGCCTATTCATGTCTTCCAGACATCTCAAAGTGTGTCACAAAATATACTGTAAAGTGCATTGACTGTGGGCATTTCGCCCACAAAGTACTCAGCCAGTTCTCTTTACGGTATATTCTGTGACGCGCTTTGAGAGTCTGGAAGACATGATAAGGCGCCATATCAAACGCAAGGAATATTATTAATACTGAAGGGAACCAAGTCTCCAATGGCATAGCACTGAGCCGGGGGGGGGGGGGAGAGCAGGAATCTCGCGATAGTGCCCACGCTCGAGGCTGGAGCCCGGGCAGACTCTCGCGAGATGTGGGAACTGTCCTTCAGCGAGTCGGAGGGGAAAGAGTGGGAGGTGCGCATGCGCGCGCGATAGAGAGGAGTCGCGGGTCGAACGGAGCTGATCAGAATAGAGCAGAGCGCGGACTGTGAGGCTGTACGGCGGCGCGGAGAGCAGCAGCGCACAGACACCTATCGGCTTTATACACTTTTTTTTCCCCCTCCTCCCTTTTTAAAACCCTTTCCCCCCCCCCTCCCCAATCCCCGTTCTCTTTGTTCGGAAGATTAGCTTGAGTTTGATTTGACAGCTTCAAGCAAATACACCGCATCAGAAATCCACCCTTCCCGGCGAAAAGAAAGAACCGTAAAACTTTTTCTTGTCGGTCTGGGGTTTTTTTTTCTGGTGGAAGATCTTTTTGTATTTTTTTTTAGTTATGAGTCATGTGGCCATCGAAAATGTACTTGGTCTGGATCAGCAGGTGAGTGAGTGAGCGAGCGAGCGAGCGCGGCCCTTGGCGACTCTTGTGCCCTTTCTTGTGGGATCGAAAAGCCGGGCGGTGGAGTTTAGGCGGAACGGGGTCCCTTTTCTCTTTCTTCCTCTCCCGAATCCACTCCCCCGCCACGCTGCTGCCACCAGCTCCCCAGGTGCGGAGGGAGGCCCACAATGGCGGCCTTTGTCTTCCTGGAAGCTGCCGCGGAGAGCAGCGATCATCGTGTGCGCGGTTACGGAGGGGGGGAGGGAGGGAGGGAGAACGGTGTCGGGTGTTTTTTTTTAATTCACTTTTAAGGTTAACTCGGGTGGTTATGGCCGCCTCGATGTCGTTGTCCCCATTTCCCCCCCCCCCTCCCCTAAAAAAAAAACGCTCGGTCTCAGGCCTTCCCTCTCTTGAGCCCCGGGATGGCCGTGTGCGTGGTTGCTTTGTATGTGTGGGGGAGGGGGGGGGGGGGAAATGTAACTGAAAATAACTCTTATAGAGTCGGGGCTTACGTCAACGCCGGCCTCGCCACTCGCCGGCCGGCGAGGAGGTGCGGTTTGGTGACTTTGTTCGGATGGTGGTGGGGATTGTGTAACGCCAAACCGCGGGGGTGGGGGAGGGGTGCTGTGCTGTGCTGTATGTGGCCTTTTTTAATGTGCGTAGGAAAATCCGTATTAACTGTAAAACCTGTAATGGCGGCGGTTGTCGTAAACTGCCCCCAGCGCCGAGGCCAGTCAGTCACAGGCGGAGCACCTCCACAGGGACAGGCCTCATTAACACTTATTACTACCTGGTACTGATCCCGATTTAGTCACCGGATTGATTCTATTCGAAGTTTTCCCCCCACCCCCCACATATCTTTCCACTTCTCCTTTACATCACACTGTCGGCCTACTTTTTGAGGCTGTGCGAAGGAAATGTAAACGTGGAAATAATTGGCTGGCGGAAAGTGCTTATTCCCCCCCCCCACACCCACACACACACACACAAGGAAAGTTTCCAAAAAAAAACCCCCACCTCTCCTCAGTGTTCAGGCGACCGAACTGAATTCTTCATCGAAATGTAGATTTACCGTATCTCGTTGGGGGAACGGGGGCTGATCTTTTTTTTTTTCGCGCGACGACGCGAGAAAAAAATATTTTCAGCTCGTTCCCTTTGTCGCTTCGTGTAACTTTTTTTTTCTCTCTGAGGTATTCTGGCTAAACTTTAGCGTTTTGTTGGAACAGAAAGACTTTACGGGGGAGGGGTGGGACAGAGTTAAAACGCAGTTGTAAAGAACGTAGTTTGATCGTAGCCCATCTGGGAAATGGGACACTTTTTTTTTAAAAAAAAATAAAATAAAATGAAAATGGATTCAAAAATATTGAGTCTTTTGTGGGCTAATTACCCCGAGTGCAGGCAGTGGTGTCATTGATCGGGGGCTCCGGCAGCCGATACTTTCTGAAAAGTGTCGATTGCAGTCGGGCCTTTGTGGTCAACAGCTTGATATCCGTGCGCTCGGAAACTGCGCCATCATTGTCTGGCGCAGCACGTTTATGTAAAGTGGCCGACTTCAGACCCGACTTTTAATTTAGTTTTTTTTTAAAACCCATTTGCTGCGTATTTGGTCTTTCTCTCTCCCCCCCCCCCCCCTCCCCTCCGCGAATTTGCGAAACTTTTTATTTCTTTTCCAAGTGCAAGCAATTGGCTTGGGAGGGAGGGAGAGGGGGGGGGGTTGAGCCGCACCGCGAAAGGGTTCAGGGCAATTGCTGGCGGCTCTGGGTGGTTCATTTTCACCGACGTCTTACAAGGGCGTGTGAGGAGTTCGGTGGCATTCCTGGAAACGGAGAGTATGACGAGCGAGTGATAAAAGGGTGGGGAGGATTCGTCAGAGGTTTTAGGTTTCCTGTGGGGGGTTTTTTTTTTGCCCGAACGTGCACGATGCCATTTTCTCTTGTGTCGTTGTGCAGTAATATTTGCTGCACATAACCCGCTGTCTCAGCGGCGTGCGATCTGCCCGCAGAACGAGGTTATCGTTAAGGGTCCCGTACAGCCCTGCACTTACTTGGCTCTTCTCGCAGAAATGATTCCCGATGGGATATTGCGTGGACACTTCTTTGATTTTTTTTTACCCGGAGGTGCGAGCAAAGACCTAACTTCCGGTGTTGAATATTGAAACGTAGAAGTAGGTCAGGCAGACTTCCACCAATGGATCCAGTAAGCGTGACTTGTGTACAAAATGGCCGTGGTGTTAGAAATATTCCATTGAGGTCTTTTCTGAGAAATGGCTTTGATTGGCCATTTAAAAGGCTATTTTCAAGCACTATGCCCCAATTTAAAGACGATTCACATATTTCTCAAATCTTCAGCATATTGCCAATTGCCTTAAATATTGAGGCAGGATTCCAAATAGTTTAATGAATTATTAATGGTTTTGTACATCTAAATGGCTTCTGATTCGAAGTACCCACTCCTATCCTAGTAGGGCAAAGATAGGTTCGGTTCCTCATCAGAATTTCCTGTGCCAATTCGAGAATGTCTTAATACCAACATTTTAATTGTTCCATTAAACATTTTGCCCATAAAGTAGTCACTCCACTTTACAATGAATCCCGTGAAGCTCTTTGAGATGTGCTTTTGATGTAAAATAAACACTATAACAGATGAAGGGATTACTGTTGGATTTTCTTTTTGGATTTATATCTCAACTTTGTAATAAGCAGGAAAAATGATTTTCTTGAGTTGAGTTAATAAACTTTATGCTGAAATCAACATTGAGTTGATAAAATTTAAAGCATATTGCTGTCATTGTGGGAATCATCTAATGCTCACTCAGTGAGCTCCTGGGGGGCTCTTGTGGTACATGTGAAACTTCGCCTTTCAGACTTAAGTTTGGATGCCAGGTGCCAAACACCAATGAACTGTCAACTTTGTGCTTTACTTTGTGTATTTTGTAAAATTGACAATCAGGAAACAAATTGAGCCTTTATTTGTTGGTCTTCGTCTGCGTGTTCAATTTAGAATGTTGAAACATTTGCCACTAAATAAATGTCAGAATACATTTATCAAAATATTTTTTATTTTTCTGATGGAACTTTATATTTACAGAATATACTGTAACGTGAAGTGACTATATTTTGAGGATGAAACACCCATGTAATTGTGTAATTACTTAACAACTTTTTTTTATTGTGGATCCTCCCCTTTAGATGCTATTCCAGGACCCAGAGTACCTCTGGTACCATGCCCATGCTTCATGTATGAACCAGGGAATGAAGTTTTAGCAAGCAATTTGAGGCTCAAGTCTGTTCTTGTCCTTCTGGAGTGGGATACTCAGTAGCCATTGAGAAGGGAATCTGACTTCTGCATTCTGCATTGAGAGCCACCTCAGTCAGTGCAGAGAGCAGGATTTGAACCTATGCAATGCTTTTACTCACTGGAGACTGCAGGAGATGAGAGAATCTTGGTGACAGTGGACAAAAACCTTGGATAGAGATTTTGTAACTTTTCATTCCAATGCGCATCTCAGGATGAAGGATTAAGTAGTATGTAGGTCAGCAATTGACTGAACACTAAACAAACTATAGTAAATCTTCTGCACAATTTCTTATGTTCTCGGAAAATACTGATTGAGTTTTTTTCCCTAATTTTCAGTTGCCCTGTCATACCAAACTTCTTAAAAGAGCCAGGCACAAATCCATTCTTGAACCCATGTCAGCATCTTGATTGACAATAACTTATTTGAATATGAAGCTGAAATGTCGCAATCTGGTTATGCATTAACTTTGCAATGGAGGCAAATAAAATTTTATTGCAAATGATTGAACTGCCCAAGTCATTATGTAGCAGCCATATGATAATGAAAAGTGGGGATCAGCTGTAGTTATGGATACTGATGGAAAAACCTTATAGATCTGTTTGGTCTTTAAAGGAGTAGGAAGAATCTCCCAGTGATGGCTCTCCCAGTTATGCTTCATGTTCCCATTTACATTACTTTCTTCTTGACCAACAAATTCGTTTCTAATCCCCACTTTTTGCTTTGTTACCTAATTCCTACGAAAAAAAGTTTAAATCAGAAACATTCAAAGTGCAACTTGTTTTTAATTTGGATTTCTTCTTTTCAGCTTGCTGGCCTAGACTTGACATCTTCTGCAGGTGATGCCCAGAACGCAGGAGGGCCAAGCAGTAAGTAACAAGAATAGCTGGTGTTTGATGCATTTATTCTTTAGCAGAAACCGTTGCTTTACTAGAACACTAACTGATGCCCCAATTTGATGTTTGTAAGTGTCCTTTTTAAATTGGATACGTCCTTTTTTCATCAGAAATGGGGAAATTACATATGTAAAAAATGTAAACTTATTAAAAAAGGCTAAACTTTTCTACATGAAGAACAAATATTGTACCAGTCTTGATGCATGAAAATAAGAATATCTATTGAATTGAGAGGTTTGTTTCATAATTGTTTTGCATTGCATGACTTAAATAAGAAATCCTAGAAAATTCAATCTACTATGATGTTGGATAATCTGCCAGTCCTCAGTGATATGGTAGTCCACTTCATTATATCGATATTAATTTACTCAATATTTCCATAATTTAAGGTTTACTTTTAGTTTGAAAGTACAGTAAAACTCAAGTCGTATCAATCATTTAGTGACGTGTGAAGTTTGAGTTCAGGCGAATTTGTATAAATCGTATAAAATCCGATTTAATGAATAGTCTACCCTGTGCTTGCCTAACTCAATGCAGCCGGTGAGTGTGCATATGGTGACGGTTCAAGACAATTCAATATTCTTGACCCTGTATTGCAATGCTATAATATCCTCCCAATGAGCATTGAAAATTTTACTAATTGGTTTCCTCTTTTTTTAGAAGGACGCTATATTCCTCCCCATTTAAGAAATAGAGAGGCATCCAAAAATGGTAAGTCTGTTAACTGTTAATAACTTAAATTAATACTTCTATAGAGGTGTTAATAACTTAAATTAATACTTCTATAGAGGTGCAGCTATATTTAAAGATCACATTTTAATGCATTTAGTGTAACCTCACTCAGTAATGTGTTATTTTCAAACTTGGACCACTTACACAGATTTGTTCACAGAATCTGTACCAGAGGTCAAGTGGTCGGTTACTTTCTCTGTAACTGAATGTTAAAATTACATGAGCTGGTTGGTTTAAGGCATCTCTCCAGCACAAGGAAGTACCTAGCTTCCCTACTGTACAATGTTTCCCTACTGTACAATTTTAATTTTTCCTCCTACAAAATGGAAATATTAGCCTTTCCTGCATATCTTGCTTCTAAAAAGAGCAGGAGTATTTATTGATGAACTTGGATGTGAGAAAGATTAGTTTTTAATGTCCAAGATTTGCTGTAATGAGGAGAGCATTTATATTCTATTTTGGTACCCAATACTCCTGTCATCTATTTGAAGGCTTGGACTGTGTTTAAATAAATGTGGCGGAAGTTTGCTAATTACTTGCAAATATTGTGCTTATTATGACTCTTAAGATGCTTACATTTGAAGTACTCGCTCATTAAGCTGACACTTTCCTCCTTACAGCAATGTCTGAACATGGTATGCAGTTAGCACGGTTCCTGACTCAGATTGAGTTGTCTGAAGGCATTTATTTTAAGTTGTAATTTTTAAAATAGATGCTCCATACTTGAAGGGTGGATCAATTTCAGAAGTCTGGATATTTTGGAATCACTTTAGTCAAAGAATGGTGTTTATTTGATTTATGTCATGGGAACATCTGAAGGGTTTCACAGCAAACCAGTTGACAGCAGAATGGATCTTACTCATTTTGCTGTTAGACGAGCTTGATTAGCTGGGGCTGTTCACAAAACGTGGGGCTATTGGTTTTAATTTTAGGAGTCTTTTACTGAAATTCTGTTCAAAGCTTGTCCAGGTGAGATTTTGCAAAATAAGAAAACATTTGGGGTTCTTCCAACAGGAGCAGGAAATAAAGTAGGTATTTAAAGTTATAGATTTAAATTTATGTCGGCATTTAAAGGACAGGATAGGGATCTTAGTCAATCTGCAAGGGAGTATAGCTGGGGCAGGGTGGGAGTGATGGGTTCACAGAGCTTAGTGTGGGAGAGAATGGGCTGCACAGTTCTGGATGGTCTGGAATTTGTGGAGGGTAGACCTGGGAAGGCCAGAGAATGGCTATGGAAACTCAAGCCTAGAATGACAAAGGTGTGGGTGAGGTTTTCGATGGTGTTGGAGATGGAGGAAAGTGGAGTTTGTCAGCCCTGATGTATATTTAAAGGTGTGTTGGACAGACCATTGAAGTTTTATTTAGGCTCTGAATTGGAGTGAGAACTCGGATTAGGTCTACAATCAGCACCTGAGATGAGTAGGTACTGAGCAGGATGGCCCTAGTTCTGTTGTATTGTGGCTCATCCAGGATTTGGTGTTGAAGGGCAGTCATGGATTAGTGGTGATCCTGGAATTAAGCGTGGAGGCAAGACATAAGTGGGTGTCATCCTTATGGAGGGAAGTGGATACCATGCCTCCAAATGTTTTGTAGCCAAATGCAGCAGCCAATCTGCACAGTGTCCCACAGGTAACCAATCAAGTATCTATGAACAGCCATTAATTTAGACTATTGTGCTATTGTACAAAGTGCTAAAATGACTTGCATTTTTAAGCAGTTTGCCTAAAAAGCATACTATTTTTATACAAATCTGTCATGTCTGCAACCAAATCTTTATTGGTTCCTGACTAAAATGAAGCAGATGCGTTTTATAGCAAAAGATGGATGACCACACGTGGCAGTTGCATAAATGTGCAAGTTCTTCAAACTAGCTTCTTCCCTCTAAAATATCTAGAACCATCCAGTTTTCTGGAATTTGTTTTCCTTTAGGCATTCATATGCCTCTGTGTTTCAACCATGAAACCATTTCAAGATGGCCGGCACACTGAGATTTGGAATCTTTATTGTTTGTCCATTGGGAGGGACACCCAATGTAATGGGTGTCTTTTGATACATCAGTGAACTTGAAATGTGAACAGTCAGGCTCTGACAAATCTAGTGTGGATAAATGTCAATTACGTAAGTAGGCAAACGAGTATTGGGAGGAGTCTAAAGAATATTTACATCAGGCATTTGTTCCATACAGATGTTTTGTGTCTTGTTTTGCAGTTTATCCATATTTGAAATGCCACTACTGGAAGATGTCAGGTGTTCCTGGGGTTTGGGGTGGCTTTTTGGCACAACCTACTTCTGTGTCTGCTTATGTAGACATGACATCTGAATGTTGATTTTATGGTTTTGCTTCATTCAGTCTAAAGGACATCTATCTTTATCAAATAATCTTGTTTTTTTGTAATGTTCTTCTTTGAAATACTGATAGATTTGAGGACTTGGTACTAATCTGTGGTGAAGTATCGATAACCGTGAAAGATCTGGGATTTGGAAAGATGGATTTTTGTCAAGATTTGAAATTTACTTTAAAGATAGTGAAGGTCGTGAATTTCATGCTTCTGCAATTTTAGCAAGTATGCAAGTCATGAAATATTCACTTTCTTGCAGGCCAGATTGATGATGCACTGTGAAAATACTTTTTTGTTTACTGCCAAATCAACTTGTCTTCTGTATGATAGAAATGAAATGCTAAAACAGTCCTAAGGCTTAAGTATTCTGACTAGCTTAGAATTTTTAACTTCACAAATTCCAGGTACAATTATTGTGTTTTCTGTTGAAGGTGGGGTGCTTAATGGTGTTTACAAAATTGAACCTTCCTCCCTTCTGTTTTGCAACGCAAGGTTTCTTTCCACCTGACTAGTCGTAGTTAAATTTTATAATGGGGAATATTTTCTGTTGTTCCTGTATGCTACACCCAAACTTTAATCTAGGCTATGATGATATTTAGGCTATGAAAGTACAGCTGTTTTATGGGAAGCATGAAAGTAAATAAACGGCAATAAGGAGACCATTTCCTACACTGCTACATCTTTTTGGTGTACTGTGGTGAGTCATGATCTGACTTTGAAGCCCACCTCAATTGGAGTAATATAAGCATAATTGTTGGCTACATCCAAGTTGCATTGCAATTAAACTATAGTATTGGTTATAACAAAGTAGTATTGTATTTCCTAAATTGTCAGTTGCCACTTCTTTCTACAGTTTATAATCCACTTGGAGCAAATCACTCTAATTTTCCAATGTTGAGGAATTGTAAGTTTGTACTCTTTTTACACTTAAAAATTTGTGCCAATGCATGAAATCTGGCTTCAGGAGTTGAGGCCTTTACGTGGCTTAATGTAACTTGCTACACATATGCGGCACTGAAATGGGTTAGGCTGGATTTTTAAAAGCTGCTTTATCTCCCTTCTTAGTTCCTTCAACCCATTTATGATGAAAATCCGAATTTATTTTAACAATGTCTTGCGGCTTCAGACTGAACCACATTGTTTAACCGTCTCTGGCTATAGCTAAGATCTTAGCTTATTTTCTTCAATGCTGCAAATGGCAGTTAACCCTGATGAATTGCTTTCTATCCAGATGAAAGACTTATATCCATGCACTATTTCTGAACTTACTAAAACTACTCACACCTCTGCATAAATGAAAAATTATTTCTGAAAGTTTCAAAAAAATGATCTCACTTGCAACTGCTGGCAAACTAAACAGCTGGGCATCTGAGTGGAAGAGATGTTTACAAGATGGGTAATGAAATTAAAGTATTACTGTTTTTCTTCCTATTTTGTTGACGTACTCTGAATAATCTGTGCTATTGTTGCTGCTCAGCTTACTCAAGAGGCCCCTGGCAAGAGGTGGACCTGTACCAAAACTGCAACGGTGTCTGGCTGGACAGAAGGGGTACTGCATTTGGTATACTGATGCATGATAGCACAGAGAAAAGCGTAGTGCTCTACTAACTGAAACATTGCAATTGGTTGCATGCAATACTGAATTCTGTCCCCTGTTTAGTTAAAGTGATCAATAATTGGTAGTAGCATTCTCAGTTGCAGTGTTTTTGGTCTTAATCCTGTGGATTTGCTGTTTTCACTGAAGCTACAGGCATGTGGTGGAGAGGCTTATTTAGGGCATAACAGAGGAGACCTGTTTTTGGAACCGAAAGGTGGTCAGTGCACAATATATGGTTGAGATAACCCATTAGCTCTAATTAGATGCAAAATTAGAATTTTGTTGTGTATTGGTCAGTTTTTGACTTGTGTAAATTACAAACACTTGGGTCTAGAATGCAATATCTAATTTTCACAAATCAAAGTGGTTGTGGAGTGTTTGAAGTATTTGGCCCCTGGGAGTTTCTATCACTGAGTTGTCATGATCACATGCAGTTGTCATGAAATGGCTAAATTGTGATTGTGCCTGCTTTGATTTTATATATATATATATATATATATGTATAAATATATATATATGGCTTTAAAAGCTGGGTAGATCTATTTATACAGTACCATGTATATAAATTTATGGAGTCCGTGGTTTTGATACTTAGGATGGTTGACTTCCCATTTGCATATTAATTAGATATCAGCTATAATTTGTTAGTGCTTTAGATTGACCCCATCAGTGTTTATTTAATTCTTCATGTGATATGCCTGTACTCCAGGCTCTTTAGTTGTAGCATGAATACTTCAAAATGGATCATGTTTGTTTCAAGTGAGTTTTAGACAAATGATACAACAACTTAAAACAGCAACATTTTATATTTTCACCCATTCTGTTCATAAAATACACTAGCTGTTAGTTACACTTGAACTGTTTAAGTTATCAAGTTATGCTCCTCTGTCAAGGCCCAAACATACAATTCCACCAGCCTCTCACACAGCCGGGTACCTGGAAACATGTATGAGCTAGAAATTTGGCATGTGTGCTGGGGTTTGCTAATCCCTGTTAGTGTATTCTGTATAAACTATATTCAGGCAATTACTGGCTTCTAGTTTCTCAAATAAACTTAGTGGTTTTGTAAAATATTCCCTTTTCACTCTACACTATTCAATGATATCTGAATTCCTAATTTGTGAGTTTATCTGCAACACTTTGGTAGGGCTCAGTTCCTTTTTTTTTGCCTGAAGAGGTCTTTCATTCTAGTGAAATAATTGGCCCTTTGGTCCTTTTATCTTCTGTACCGTCTTTCATATTGGAGAACATCACAACACCTCAGAAAATATACTGTGAGATGTAGTGACTGTATTTTGGAGACAAACGCACAGCAATGTCCTATGGACAGCCATAAAGTGAATAAGGCCAACTTGTATTTCGTAACTCATTTTATGTATTGGAAGTGCAATAATTCAGAGCCCAAACATACCTGTAGATGGGCTTCAAAGTTGGCTTGAAAATTGGTGCTTAAGTCTTGCAGGTGCAGTATCTTCTCGTAACTTGCTTTGGGGATGTCCATCAGAATAATTTTGGTAGTGCTATGTTTTGTTTCCAGCTTTTTGGCTCAGCATGAAGTGGCTCAGCTGATTTCAGGTTCTCAGTGACTGCAGTCTCTCTGTTGTGCTGCCAGTGTGAATATTCAATTTATTTTAAGTTGATGTTAAGATTTCAAGTTAACAATACTAATTGATTTTGCTTTTTAAACTCCAAAACAAAATAGGTTACGGCTTTGATAAAGATGATGGAGGATGGAGCAATAAAGATGTCCGAGATCCCTACAGTAGCTTTGGGTCACGTGATCGAGGGAAATCTAGCCTCTTCAGTGATCGTGGAAGAGGAAGGTAAACTGAAAATCTGTTAAATAAGAAAATAAGCACTTCTGATGCTCATTTATTCGTCTCGATGTTCAAACTGTTTTTAGAAACCATGATTTTAATGTGGACCCATTGTTCTCAGGTTTGACGACCGTGGAAGAAACAATGACAGTGATCAGTTTGGAAGCCGCAATGACCGTGGAGGGTTTGGCAGAATGGAACGTGGAGGAAACAGTCGCTGGGTAGAAGATAAGCGCGATGAAGATGATTGGTCAAAACAACAGCCAGCAAATGAACGCACGGAACAGTAGGTTTTCTCTAATGCAGTGTTAATTATTAGGATCCTTTGGTGAAAACCATTGGACTATTTCAAACTGGATTGTGTTTGTGTGTATGTATATGTATGTTCTATATCTTGAATATATATATCTTGTACACTTTGTGCACTGCCTAAATTGGAAGTCCATGTTGAACTGTCTGCCTTATAACCATTCTACATTTTTGTATAACGTCTTGTGAATGGTTTTGTTGGTTGCTATGGAATTTCCAATTTTGTTATCCAGTAGACTTTTATATTTACATTTTGTTTAACTTTAGGATTGTTCTTTTTTTCTGCCCCAGATTTCATGGAAATTTACTGTAGAAGCATAGAAATTTACAGCATGGAGGGCTTTTTGACCCATTTTTTAAAAATTAGTGCAACTAATTTTCTCTATTTTTCTCCCCATTGGCACATGCCTCTCTTGCTGGCTTGCAGTAGCAGCTTCCCTTGAGCCAAGATAACTCATTCATCACCTTGCCTCTTTCCTCCAGCTGAAGCACTTCCAAGCTCATAAAGCATTCCATGCTAAATTACTGTTCCATGTATCATGTTTTTGCACGGATGGTCACTCTTAAAATTTGCGCCTGACCTCTGATTTGCTGGACTTGGGCACTGTTTCCCATATCCAGGAGATTTCTTAGATTTGGTTTCAAGAAACTGCTTGTATACATTCTTGTCATCACCTTTTAAGTGTCCTTTTATTTGATTTACTCAATGTGGCTCTTGATATCTTGGTTTTATGAGCCACTAACCCATAGATGAGAATATTCTGAGTTCTTACGTTATCCCTAAACATACTTCTTTTTATAGGGAGTTGTTCTCAGCATGTAACACTGGAATCAACTTTGAGAAATATGATGACATTCCTGTTGAGGCGACTGGTGCAAACTCTCCTTGTCATATTGAAACTGTAAGTTATCCTGAAGCGCAAACTGACCTTTGTATCTTATCAAGTTTTATGGGCTTTAAAACCAATCTTAATTGATGTAACTGTTGAAACTTTGGAATGGTAACCACTCAGCATACTAATATGGTATTTGTTCAGCTAGGATTGAGCTACCCATTAAAGTGAAACTTGCAAAATTGAGGTCCTGTGAACAACACATGTTTCATTGAGTCAGACGTGCTGTTCACTCATCAATAATGTCTTGAATTTCAAACTTTGAGAGACATGTTGTCTCCAAGCTGGGAAGGGAAGCCTAGTTACTTTCTCTTTCCTTGCTCCCTCTAAGTAGTTAGTTGTTGGCCTTGAACAGCTGAGGGGACAACTAGGATTCAAATCCAGAACCTTCTGTTCATGAGTCTAGTACTCAAACCACCTACTTGTGTCTTACAAGTATACTTGAAACGTCTACTCTATCCAGTACATAGCCACAACAGCTGGGGTGTGAGTTAATGCTCATTGAATAAGCATTGGTTGTGCCTTTGGTAAACCTAGGAGGAAGTGGGAATATCAAAGTCTTGATGTCAAGCCCCACTAACATTTTTGTAAAGAGTTGGTGTTAACTTAGTGCTTCTGTTTCTATTTCAGTTCCAAGAGGTAAATATGGGAGAAATAATAATGGGTAACATTGAGCTGAGTCGCTATGATCGTCCAACTCCTGTGCAGAAGCATGCAATCCCCATCATTATATCAAAGAGGGATTTGATGGCCTGTGCCCAAACAGGTGAGTGCTGTTTGAAAAATTTTCATGAGTCTAGGTATCTGGAGCATACAAAGATTATATCAGATGTTACCGTCCCTTTCCCCTTATGATTTGAAGTTCATTTTGATGGAACTATAGACAACTCTAAATAAGATTCATTTGAGATTTGTACTAGGCTTTGCACCCAATGTAAGAAAATGCCATATTTGCCTGCTACTTTTTATTGGATTCATTTTGCTTTGGAAGTTAGTACTTCAGACACAACCTTAAGTGATTTGAATTTAATTAAGTTTGTAATGGTGGTTTTCTTGCTTGGAAAAAAGAAAATTAAAAATGAATTTTTAACTTACTTAATTTGCAAGTTTGCTGAGTAAATGCTGTGGGAAACACTGCTAGACCAAATGTTAGATTTTTTCAAACTGTCAAAATATTTTGTTACAGGTTCTGGGAAAACTGCTGCATTTTTGCTGCCCATTCTAAGCCAGATTTATGCAGAAGGCCCTGGTGAAGCTTTGAAGTCTGCAAAGTCTCAAGTATGCATAATTGCTAGAATTTCTTTGCATATGTTTTGAGTTGTCTATAGTTGCATCAAAATATGTGTTTCTGTTTCCACAGGATTCCAATAGATATGGTCGCCGTAAGCAATATCCACTTGCTCTGGTCTTGGCACCTACAAGGGAACTTGCTGTGCAGATATATGATGAGTCCAGGAAGGTGAGATTTTTGATACTTTGCTGCTGTTGACAAGACAGAAGCCATTCGCATTGGCTCCCGTCAAGGTCTTCTATCATGCGGCTCTGACCTCCTTAAACTTCCCGGCCTGTCCCTCAGACTTTCAAATCATTTGCACCAACTAAGTGTCAGTTTTGACAAAAAGCTGTCCTTCCTCCCCCACATCTGGCCCCTGACCACTTTTCTCCATCTGTCACATTTGCGCACCTCCGATTGTATCTTAGCCCAGGCGCAGCCAAAACACTCGTCCATGAGTTCATGACTCCCCGACTTTTCAAATGCCCTCTTTGTTGGTCTCCCTAGCTCCACCATGCACAGGGTCCAGCTGATCCAAAACTCCACCGCCCACACACCCACACTAAACTCCGTACCCCCATCACAGCAGTTCTAGTCAGCCACCACTGGCTCCCTAATGCTGAACCGATCGACTTCAAGATCCTCACACTCGTTTTTAAATCCCTTTGTGACCTACCTCTCCAACCTGCTTGCCCCACAACTCACTTCCTCTGCTCGACCTTCTGCAGGTCCCTCCTGCCCTTCGTTCCACCATTGGTGGCTGCAATTTCAGCTACTACACCTCAAAACTCTAGAAAACTCTTCCACTATCCCTCTGCCTTGGGCCTTCTTTTCCCACCTTCGAGGTTGCGCCTGAAGACCTTCCAATTCGACCATACCTACGGTCACCTACTCCGGCTCAGCGTCGTGCTCCACCATGGTCAAATACTCTGGGGCGCTATCCTGTGTGAGGGGCACTATATCAATGCACGTTGTTGTTACCTGCAATGGATAGTAATTTGACTGGGTTTACCACCTGCAGTTTGCCTATCGCTCTCGAGTGCGTCCTTGTGTCGTTTATGGAGGAGCTGACATTGGGCAGCAGATCAGAGAATTGGAACGTGGATGTCACCTTCTTGTAGCAACTCCTGGCCGTTTAGTTGATATGATTGAGCGAGGAAAGGTTGGATTGGATTTTTGCAAGTAAGTGAATCTTTATGTATTTTATCCTTGTGTTGAACCCCAGCTGTCTGAAAATATTCAGACTTCTACTCTTAGTGGATTGGAGCTCTTCAGTACCTTGCCCAAATCACCATTTGTGTTGGCATCTATTCACAACATCCAAGTCTGATCTTATCCTCACTGGGTATCATTAGCACATTTGGAAGGTTCGGCTTAACTTCCCCTTTAAGCAAGAATGTTGAAGCCAATTTTACATTTCCTATATTTTTCCAAGTTTAAAACTAAAGATGTTTTGTACAGTCACTTTTGTGCAGGTAGCTCTCTGTAATTTAGGGGGCTCAATTTGGGGGGAGGAATATGACTAGCTGAGGTGAGATGTCATGGTATTTGTACCAATGCCAACATGTACCCTGTATCACTACTCTTAAGCAGACCAGAAAGTGTAACTCATCTTTCTTGCTACCTTTTTAAAATACAAATATTTTTTACTTTTCAGTTCAGTTATTTACTTTTTTTAAAAACTGTATTAACTATAATAATCTTTGCATTTGATTTACCACCTTATCATGTCACTTGGATTAACTGTATTTTGTGGGCAAAAATGCGCATTGTATTATAAGCTTGGTAACTAGCAACTTATTGAATTTATGATTTTATCTGGGACCTATTTTGAAACTGGAAACTTGTCGAGAAGAAGTGCCATTTTGACTAACATCCTGATTTGTTTTACTTTTAGGTATTTGGTACTAGATGAGGCTGACAGAATGCTGGACATGGGATTTGAACCACAGATTCGCCGTATTGTTGAGCAGGATGCGATGCCACCAAAAGGTGTACGTCAAACTTTGATGTTCAGTGCAACATTTCCAAAGGAGATCCAGGTCTGTATTCCCTAGACTTTCACTAACCTACTCTTTTGAGGGGAAGGTGTATACCATGGTTTTGGTAAACTTGTTAATCTATTTGTAGAACACATCTGTTAAATTGAAATGGTTTACTGATACAGTAACTATGTTTCACTCTCTGTGGTCATAATGTCAGAAGCTAGGTCTTGTCTGGAAGTGTTTAAAATTGGAGAGGTGGACCTTGATTCTGCAGGTAACGTTGCAGCTGAAGTTGACTGGTTCTGTTAAGTTGCTTCCAAAAATAATGAAGTGTACCAGTGAAATGGTTCACATTAAAATTATCCACTGAGTGTGCAAATGTGCAAGTTATTAAAATGTCCTGTGTTTTCAGGGTTGCATTAGTTTGAANTTTTTTTACTCTGCTTGTGATCTTCTGTTTACTATAATTTCTCATTGATGTTTGCTGGTCACCAGATCCTAGCCCGTGACTTTCTGGATGAATACATATTCTTGGCTGTGGGTCGTGTAGGTTCCACCTCTGAAAACATTACTCAGAAGGTAGTGTGGGTGGAAGAATTAGATAAGCGCTCATTCCTCCTTGATCTTCTGAATGCCACAGGTAAGTTTTAACTCGCTGATAAACTGACTACAATGAAATTGAAAACTTAAAACAGAGGGATGCTTAGGCTGTAAATATTGATTAATTTTATAAATTTGAAGATTTGCTGTTGATTGTAAATTCTTTTAGCTCTAAAATGACATGCGAGTTTTCAGATGTTGCGTGTATTAAGGTTTTCCTTCACTAACTGTGTGGAATAAATGTGTATCTGTTTTTGTTTCAATCTGATGCAGGAAAAGACTCCCTAACTCTGGTCTTTGTGGAGACAAAGAAGGGAGCAGATGCTTTGGAGGATTTCCTTTACCGTGAGGGTTATGCTTGTACCAGTATCCATGGTGATCGTTCTCAGAGAGACCGAGAGGAGGCTCTGCATCATTTCCGCTCTGGAAGATGTCCAATCCTGGTTGCCACTGCTGTATGTAACAAACAACATCTTGAGCAGTTATTCAAAAATCTAAAATTGGCCATCATTACTAATGTGTCGCATGTATTTCCTAATTAACAGGTTGCAGCTCGTGGACTTGACATCTCTAATGTCAAGCATGTGATCAATTTTGACCTCCCAAGTGACATTGAGGAGTATGTGCATCGCATTGGACGTACAGGCCGTGTTGGTAACCTTGGTATGTTCAATCTCATGAAACATTTTAGATTGATTTAGGTTTGAGTTTTAAGAGCAGTTGTGCGCTTGAAAGAGCAAATACAGTGCGGTCAAGTGTTTCAGACTACAGAATGAAACTAGTTTCGAGATGGTCTGATTTACTATTTGTTTTATAGGACTGGCCACCTCATTTTTTAATGAGAAAAACAGCAACATTACTAAAGACCTTCTGGACTTGCTGGTGGAAGCTAAGCAGGAAGTACCTTCTTGGCTGGAAAACCTAGCATATGAGCACCAGCATAAGGGCACTGGGCGTGGACGTTCCAAGAGGTAACCCTTTTTGTACTTTTGCATGCACCTTTCTAATTAGAACACTTGAGTCACAGGCCTTAAATTTGTTTTCCTGCTTAATTGGCAATACATCTGTCCTGCCTCTTGCCCAGTGGTGGCCAACCGTTTTGTTGGGTCAGCCAACAAAACAAATTTTCTTGTTCTATGGCATAAATCAATAAAAAAAAATGTTAGAATGCTAATGATCAAACAAGGACTTGCCTAGACTCCTGTGAACGTTTGGGGAGGGGGCACTTCTGGCCTGCAGACCACAGGTTGGCCACCACTGCTGTAGCCTAAAGGCAAAGTACTGCAGAGCCTGGAAATCTGGTATAAACACAGGAGTTGCTGGGAACATGCAGCAGGTCAGGCAGCATCCATGGAGAGAGGAAGATTAGTTAATGTTCAGGTCTATGACCTTTTGTGTGAACTGCCAGATCTATGATATATGTTACCGGGTTTCTCGTATTTGGGCACATTTAGAATTTCTGATCTCAGCTATAGCTTTTTGTAAAATTGCATGAACAGTATTAGTGTTTTTTTACATCTTCAGACTTATGGGAGTGTAATTGCTGCCTGTTTGGATTGATTTCCCATTTGTTAGTTAACATTTGAACATATTAAAGCAGAATAAAAATCCATAAATCTATTGATGAAAACATTTTGAATCTTGCATTTCAGCCGTTTTGCAGGAGGATTTGGGGCCAAAGATTACCGGCAGACCAACAACAGCTTCAATGCCCGTGGAAATCGCAACACTGGAGGCACCAGGGGATTTGGTGGAGGTAAGAATCATTATCTAATCAACCTGGGTGCTGGGGGGAATGTGAATTGAGGAGATAAATGATCTGGACTTGGGTATAGCAAGTACCATTTCCAAGTTTGCAGATGGCACAAAGTTAGGTAGGATAGTAAACAGTGAGAAGGATAGCAGCCAACTGCAGGAAAACAGACTGAATGGTAAAATGGGCAGACACATGGCAGATGAATTTCAATGTGGAGAAATGCGAGGTAATGCATTTTGGGAGAAGGAATGAGGGGAGGCAATATAGGCTGGTAATACAATCTTTAGGGGGGTGAAGAAACAGAGTCCTGGGGGTTCAGATAAATGAATCCTTGAAGGTGGCAGGACAGGTAGATAAAGCTATAAAAAGGGCATATGGAATACTAGGCTTTATAAATAGGGGCATAGAATCAAGAGGTTATGATTAACCTATATAAAACACTGGTTAGGACTCAGTTAGAATACTGCGCCCAGTTCTGGGCACCACACTATAGGAAGGATGTTAAGGCATTGGAAAGGGTGCAGAAGAGATTTACAAGGATGGTACCATGAATGAGGGACCTTGATTATGAGGAAAGACTAGAGAGGCTGGGATTATTCTCGTTGTAGCTGAGAAGGTTATGAGGAGACCTAATATATGTTTGCAAAATCATGAGGGGATTTGGTAGGTTTAAAAGGGAAAAACTGTTTCCACTGGTGGGTGTGTCGGTGACTCGAGGTCACAGATTCAAAATAGTTTCTAAAGGAAGCAGAGGGGAGGTGAGAAGAAATGTTTTCACGCAGCGAGTTGTTCGAATCTGGAATGCATTGCCTGAAAGGGTGGTGGAGGCAGATTCGATAATAACTTTTAAAAGTGCGGTGGATGGGTATTTGAGGAGGACAGGTTTGCAGGGTTATGGGGAAAGGGCTAGGGAGTGGGATTGAAATAATCCCTCCAAAACAATAATAAATTGGTCATTTTCAGTCCACGACTGTTTGTGGGACACTGCTGTGCACAATTGGCTACTGCGTATCGCCCACAAATATACAGTCAGTTCACTTTACAGCATATTCTGTGAAGCGCTTTGAGACATCGAGAAGACGTGAAAAGCGCAATATCAAAATGCAAGGATTATTATTATATATTACATAGCTCTTTTCAAAGAGCCGCCAGACTCGATGGGCCGAACGGCCTCTTTTTGTGTTGTACGATTCTATGATTCTAAGTTTTGGATTGGACAGGAGGGGTATCCTTTGTCAGATAGGTCATTTTTCTTGTAGGAATTGGTTTGTGAATTAGCCTGGGCCAAACACAATCTGTAGGTGTTGCAAAATTATTTGTTAAAAGGATTGATGTGGCTCAATGGGTGAGCTGAGTTCCCTTCATTTAATGGTATCAATTACTAGTTGGACTTGGTATTATATGCAGTGGGGTCCTATGAACTATTCTGTACTCACTGTATTGATGGACGAGCATATTACAGTCGTTTGCTTACATTCCTTCACTTTTGCTGTGAGTCTAGTGAAATGCAACCTTACAAAGCAGAGATAGTAAACTTCAGGAGAAAATGTCGTCTTTGGCACGCATCAGTGTCAGAAGATATCGCATCAGGATTGTTAAGAATATTTTCATTTCCACACTTTCATTTTTTTAAAGGATAAAGCATTAAAGCAAACTTAAAATAGTAAGAATGTTTCCAGTACGTCTTGAATTAGCGGTGACTACAGAAACCCGTGTCTGATTGTTCTGGGGCATTGGGACTCTTAACTCAAGTGTGTCAAATGGGAGTGTAATGCAATGCTGAAGAAATGTCTTGCATAAGTAAATTTTATATAACCTAATTAGTTACATAACTTGCGTCATGAGTTCAGGGTCCCATTGCATCACAATCTTTGAGGTATTTTACATTAATGATTCAAGCAGTTGAAAGTTACCAGCACTGCCAACCTTTTTTTAAAAAATCTTTACTAAATCTTTTTTCCCCTCCCCAGGTGGTTATGGAAACTACTACAATGCTGATGGATACGGTGGAGCTTACAACTCCCAGGTGGATTGGTGGGGAAATTGAAGATCATATTGTAGTGGATGCCACCTTGCCAAACAAGCTAAATGGAAACCACATGTAACTGAGCCAGACTATACCTTGTGTAGCTTCAAGAACTCGCAGTACATTACCAGCTGTGATTCTCTGACTTTTAAAGGGAGCTCAAATGCAAAATGAGAGACAACAGTAGCAGAGGAACACAAACCCTAGACCGTGGAGAAAATGTGGCCGTAAACAGCACTAGAATATTGGCTGTAGATGTTAAACTGTGCTGCATTTAAATAGTTTATTTCTCTGTAACTGAGGATCATTTGTATGTTAATGTACTGTGCCTTTATAGAGGAACTTTTATTTTTAATGTCCTACTGGTTCATTGGGCCTGAGTTCTCGCAATCATTCTCTAGCACAATCTGAGAGAGACTTGGGCAAAAACAAACCTTGGCAGAAGTGGGGTGAAATGGCTTTACCAGGAGTCATTTTCCCAGTTGCACTTAACATTGTTACAAGGCTGAAAATAAGCAGCGAACTCCATTAGGGCCTTGACATGCGCGACCTTTAAAGACAACTTGGGGCATTCGCAGCATTCTGATCCCTGATATGGGGCTGATGTTGCTCACTCTATCCTGGATAGATACCCGTTGGGGTCATGGTAGTCTTACAAGCCATTCCAACAATGTGTACAGTGTCAAGTTTTAATGCACTGCTGTTTCCAATTACTACATCTCAGCAAATGCAAAATGTTAACTCTTGACTTTGAATAACTTGACGACATTAAAGGCAGCTAGTTAACTAATTCAGGCTAGCCTGGAGTTGGCAGAAGGTAGCTAGGAATGTATTTTTTTAAGGGTTTTTTAAAACTTGAAGTTTTGATATGGATGAAAATACCATCCATCAAATCTTAAATGCCTGCCATATCTAAAAGGAAATTTGGAATTGCAGAATGGCTAAATGGACCACAGCACCGAGTGACTGTACAGGCGGATTGCTGATTTGGTCTGATACGCATGCTAGTGTTGTTGTTTTTTGGTCAAGGGGAAAGAACAGAAAGAACTCTGCAGCAGGCTTCTTTACTGAAAAAAAATTACATTTGCGTATATTCAAGCTGCGTTATGAAGTTCAGAAAAGCCGCATTTAACTGTTTACTGTAGATTCTGTAAAGTTGCTCCACTAGGGTCTGAAGTTCGATGCTTGGAGATCACAGAGAAAGGAAATGTACACACATTACTGCACAAGGTGCCAACGCTGGTAATTGACGTATCCACTACAGCACAGTGGCTTTTTCCTTTTGCACACTGTCCAATACTTGGACACACAGTCAGTTTAATCCGCTAAATCTGGCCAAAGATTAGTTTTTCCACCTGTTTAAATGTTGAGCTGTATAATGCTGCAGTCAGGTGAAGTTAAGATAATGTAATGCTGCAGTCAGGTGAGCTGAAGACTTTTAAAAACTGCCATTTTTTAGGGTAGTTTTTCTTATGGTTTTTCCTGTGGCCAGAATGCCAGTGTAAAAAGTACTGGAAATACTGGGTGGTGGAAAGAACTGAATAGTAGCAAAAAGAACTTCAAAAGTGCAATACATCTATTATGTGTGTTGTGCCTTCTTGTACTGAAATTCTCATCAATGGAAAGTAAATGCACTGACAGTATTGAGCTAATCTCTAGTGATGAATGGTGCTATACAGGTAGCTTTAGGCCCTTATACATTGTGCCCATCAGGTTTTATATAAGAGATCTAAATACCTTTAACAAATTTATTTTAATGCACATTCAGAAAGAATATTTTATATACAAATGTCTTGCATGCATTTTCTTGAACCTCCAAGTTTTTTTGCAGTGATTGTCAAACGCAGCTTAGTTAAGGAAGGGGAGGGGGTGGGAAAGAGGCTAGATACCAAACCAGGACTATTTTGGGACCATGGGGTCTAACAGTTGGGAATTAACTATTTGCACACAACAGATCTAGGTATTTTTGCTGCTAGTTTTGTGTAATATTTATTCATTTTGACAAATATTTAATTTTTGTGTTTTTGTTTTGTAAGCCTAAAAGTGATTCTTTGAAAGTTCATAGAAAACCCGAAAAAGTAACTTGACCAAAAGACAGTCCAAAAACACTGGCACTTGAATGTTGAATGTCAACGTATGCGTGAATATATATACATATATTTCGGGGTAGCGTGAGCTCTTATTGTTAAGGTCATATTGGACCCAGAGTCAGAAACTGAACCACAACCCACCATCGGCCTAGTAATTGCCGTTAATTCCCATTATCCTATCAAATTTGTTCATGTGGGTAATTTGATCAAAATAGAAATAAAATATGCCAAGGTTTGGACAGAGTTTCTTAAATTCTAGAGGAAAATGTTTAGAAAACGGCAAAATGTTGAGGTACTCCAATTTGTGTTTTTTTATGTTTAGTGAATGTCTGGCAAAGAGCAAATTTAATACATGTGGTTATCACTTTATTGTTGCATTTAGTTGCATTTGCGTATTAAGTGACTTGGGTATTCAATTTCAACACTTCTAAGCAAGCTTGTAGTTTTTAGACCTAACATTCATAAATTGTAGACGTATACTTCATGCTGTAAGTTCCTATAACATAACTATTGCAATGCATGAATGTCTCCAGTCTTGCTCAGTGCATTGAATACCTTTAGTCACTGTAGATCTAGAATTTGCTTTCTGTAATAGTTTAGATGCTATGCTCTGCACCGCATGAGACAACTCAGCTGTGCATTACTTGTATGATTTTATCAATAAAAAGTTTGAGCTGCATCAACCTTATGATTCTTGTGTTGCCTGAAAGTGAGTGGTAAAAGGACTATGGAAGCTGAAAATCTCACATTCCCCTCACAGGGGAATCTCACATTCCCCTCACACCAGCTCTTTGTTCATTGAAGCTGCAAAAGTGTGTTTGAATATTTTTCCTTCCTATCCTTGTTCACTCCCTTCCACATTATTCTGGATGGTAATTTAGATGGTCACTCATTCATACTTTTGCACTGAATGTGTGTAGTTCATTATTCAAAACTACATTTCTGTAATGCCTTTCACGAAGGGAGGACGTCCTTAGGCGCTGGACAGTCAGTGTTTCGGACCTGAGCTGGTGGGAGGTTTGGGGAGGGTGGAGGGCAGGGATATTGAAAGCAAGGTTGAAGAAGAGGGTCTTAAGTGAGGGGGTGAGCCAGACGGACTACGATGGAGTTCCAGAGATCATGAAGACCCACCTGCCAATGATCGGACAGGTGAGACGGGTGACATGAAGCAGGCCAGAGCCTGCTGAATGAACGAGTGGGCAGGTTTGTGGGGATTAGGAAGTTGCAGAGGTATGGGGGGGGGGGCGAGGCAAAGGAGGGCTTTGAAGATGAGGACCAGGATCTTGAATTCTATCCACTGTGTGATGGGAAGCCAGTGGAGTCGGGGGAAGATGGGGGTGATAGGGTCATGGAGCCTGGTGCGGGAGAAGACATGGGCTGCAAAATTCTGGACGATCTGAAGCCGACAAGCAGCGAGTTTGCATAGTCAAGCCTGGATGTTATGAATGTGTGTATAAGGGTTTTGGTGGCCTGTGGTGTGAGACAGTGGTGGAGCCGTGTAATGTTGCGGAGGTGGGGAAAGGCAGAGTGGTTCATGGCCCGGATATGGGGTAGAAAGGATAGTTGTGTGTCAAACAAAATGCCAAGGTTTTGATGGAGAAAGGGTGAGATGAAGGACTCTAATGGAATTCAAGAGCAGGGGCAGGATGATTGAAAGCTTGCCCATTGATGGGATGGGGCATGGAGTAGATTGAAGTTAGCTGAACTCAGGTGTAGGGTTTGAAGGACCAGTGAAGATCAAACAAGCTTCTGGACCAGCCATGAAAGGTGGAGTGAGCAGAATTCATTCATACCTTGCTGGATTGTGACCATTTCTGTACTAACATTCAAAATTCTGTCATTGAACATTGTCATAACAGTGTGAACTCTTATCTTTCCCAGAGCTATATCACTAAATGGTACATTTGAAGCAGAAAATTTCCTGTACAAAAACCTGACTAATCAGAAATACCCCCCCAACTCCCTAATTATTTTGGGGCAGCAGATTCATGAGGCGAAGTCTGCATCCATGCAGCTTGATGCGAGGTCGGTATCTGAGGCTGAGAAGGTGCTGATGGCAATTGAACAGGAGATCCTTGTTCACATTGAACTGAACAAAATTAGTTCATCCAGGACTTCATCAGGCACTCAGTCAGAAAAGCATTGGTCCTGGTATTAACAACAAGAAGATTACATTTGTATAGTGCCTTTCACGTTGGGAGGATGTCCCAAGGTGCTGGACAGTCTTAAGGGAGAGTATTAAGTATTAAGGGAGAGAGGTGGGTGTCATCTATACACGTGTGGAAGTGGGCCCCATACCTGAACATCCTGAGATCTAATTGATAGAAATCCCAATTGGGAAGGATGTTGGTTTGATGCCCTCTGCTGCCTTCATTCCGATATATGCAAGGTTATTTAAGCCATTGGTATTGTGTGCTGGTTCTCAAGATCAACAAATCGGAGAATAGCATTGGTGTATTAAACAGGCAGCAGTTTCTGCTTCCTCCACTATGAGTTTCCTCAGTCTGCTTCTCCTTTGTAAGAAGGGGAGACTACATTAAATCATTGCCATAGGAGGAATGAGATCCTGAATATATTTATCTCAAACTGGATTTTGCGACTGCAAGGTACACAGTCATTTTTGTTGGTCAGCCATGTGTCTGACACATGCAGAAATCTACCACTAAACTTCAAACCAAACAGGCCCATGCATTTCCACTTACGCATGGAAATTATTGTATATTGGAATGAACTTGCCCCTGAGAGGATGTATCCTGCTTATCTAATTCCAGAGAGTATCAGGCACAGGCTGGCAAAAACTAAGACTTAAAGATCCCAGGAGTATGTTTTGGATTACTGCTGGACTTTAATCAGCTAAAACTCCATAAATTTCTATTGAAAGCACTATCTGGTGGGTTGTGGGTTCAAGCCTCATGTCTGGATTTTGAGCTCTTAGTCTATGCTGACATTCCAGTGCAATGCTGAGGAAGCACTGCATTGGTATGGGTTCCTTCAACTGAGATGTTAAATGTCTGCCTGTTGAGATGGCACCATTCAAAAAAGTAATGGGAGTTTCTCCTGGTATACTGGTCAACAATCTGTCAGAGAGAAAAAAAATCGATGATTTAGGGTATCAAGGGATATGGGTAAAAAGCGGGAAATTGGAATTGACAGGATTAGTTACAGATTATTGAGGTACAGATCAGCCATAATCTAATTGAATGGTGGAACAGGCTATCCTCAATGGCCTAGTCCCGTTCCTATGTTTCCGTTTGCTTCACTGCTATGCACAAATTGGCTGCCATGTCTGCTGGGAAATGTAGTCACACTTTTGAACCACGAAACCATAGAGATTTAAAGCACGGAAGAAAGCTATTTGGCCTATTGTGTTTGTGCTGGTTCTTTGAAAGAGCAATCCATTCAGTTCCATTTCCCATACCACTTTAAATTATGTGCAAAACTGTGAAGTGCTTTGAGATGTTTTGACATGGTAAGGTGTAATATCAAATACAAAGATCATTATTATGCAAGAAATTTTATTTTGCACATGAACACTGAAATAGCAATACTACCCCAAGCAGATTCCCAATAGGGCAATAGCCAATAATGTTTCCTCTTTTCATGCTTAAGCTATTTCTGGGTAGTTTAAATAAATGATAGGGCCTGATAAGACCGATGGATCTGGGCATCAATGGGCTAAGTGGTAACATAACCTGTTCCCTTTCTATGCTTCTCTGCTTTTGAAAATGAACTGCTTTGAAACATTATTTAGCCAAATAAATTTATTTTGCATAGAATTTTAGTGCAGTGAAATGAAATAGGTTGCAGAAGTAAAATGATCCACAAGGTGGCAAGACCATTGAGATCACACAAGCTGGAGTTTCCTTTGGTTGTATGTGCCTGTGTTTGACGAAACACAATATAACACAATGCAGTACAGTACTTAAGTTTACCCTTTTATAAGTGCAATACATTTGAAATGCCATTAGGTGGTGTGAATTCCCGTTAATGTAATCTTTCTAATCAATTTACAAAAAAAACAGTAACCTGCTGATTTGTGTTACATAGCACTGTATTTGGGGACTGCAAAGCTTCAACAAATGAAATGCAGGCAATACAAATCTCTAATGTTAAATGGATTGATATTTTTTCTTTAGATAAAATGCAACCTACTTTTTATGTACTGCTATTGGACAATTTTTTTTCCTGAAAAGTAGAATCAGAAATATTCATGTTTTAAATTGACATACAGGATCTTGCTGGATTTTACTAAAAGCCATAAAAAATTATTTTGAAAGGATTAACAAATGAGGTGAAATGTACTATGTAACCTTTTTTGCTATGAATCAAGATATCTGCCAAGATTTTTTTAAAAAAACAGTAAAAGTAGGAAATATGTAGTCCTGTGGAGTCCTGTAGCTCAGTGGTTAGAGCTGAGAGCTGTGGTTAGACATCTTCCACATAAGGAAACACAATCTTCCTTTTGTCCTGTTATCCTGTTTCTTGTTGGGGAGCATTCATAAAGAAGGTGAGCTGTTATGGTCTGAAGTTGTGGTAACAGAAAGAGGGTCACCTTCCCCCCTCCGCCTCTTTCTGTTACCAGAAGACTTATCTTCTGTGGAGTCCTGTAGCTCAGTGGTTAGAGCACTTGCCTTGCAAGCGAGAGACCTGAGTTCAATTCCAGGCAGAGGGCGAAACCTTGGGCAAGTTTCCTTACTCCACACGCCTAATAATAATCCCTCCAAAACCAAAAAAAAGCAATAATAAAATTGGTCATTTTCAATCTACGACTGTTTGTGGGACATTGCGGTGTACAATTGGCTGCCGCGTTCGCCCACAAATATACAGTCAATTCACTTTACAGTGTGTTCTGTGAAGTGCTTTGGGACGTCCTCCCAATGTGAAAAGCGCTATATCAAATGCAAGGATTATTATTATTATTATAATACGAATAATCCTTGCAATTGATATAGAGTCTTATCACGTTGTTGAGACGTCTCAAAAACGCTTCACAGAATGTATTGTAAAGTGCAAAATGTAACGTGAATTGACTATATTTTTGGTGCGAAAGGCAGCAGCCAATTGTGCACAGCAGTGTCCCACAAACAGTCGTGGACTGAGTGACTCAAATTATTTAATTTATTTTTTTGGAGGGATTATTATTCCCGGAAAGCTATACGCCAACTGACTAACAACTGGGAATCCTACTTACTGCTAGGTAAAGAGAAGCATGTGGAGTAAGAAAACTATCCTAAGGTTTTGCCCTGCCTGGGAATTGAACCTGGTTGTGAGGCGAGTGCCCTAATCATTACGCTCGCTCCACAATGCAAAACGAATACCAGTTTGTAAAGGCAGTTACCCTTCTGAGAACAAGTCAGCATGTAGTCACTTCTTCAAAAATATATATTTTTTACGCATGAATAAAGATAGATTGCAAGGAATCTGATACAGTATATAATTTGCTCTTTGATCCCACCTGTACTGCTATGTTAAGCAATTGACAGTGACTTCAGATTTGTGCAAATAATAAAAGCAACAACATTTGTGGCATTTATATAGTGCGTTTCACACGAGAGCAACACAGTTTTCTTATTTACAAAGGGGCAATGCGTAATTAGTGGAGATGTTGGGCTCTCCTTAATTTTTATATAGCGACTTAATTACATCATTGAGACGTCTCAAAGCACTTCTGAGGATATATTGTAAAATGAATTGACTGAGTATTTTGTGGGCGAAATGCGGCAGCCAATGTATGCACCAGCAATGGCCCACAAACAGCCATGGAGTGAGTGACCAATTTTTTACTTAGGAGATTATTGGCCAGGACACCGGGAGAAACTCTCTTCTCTTTTCGAATGGTGCTATGGAATCTTTCAACTTCCATCTGAATTTTTGTTTTGGTCAGCCAGGTGTTTGGCACATGAGGAAACCCATCACCAGACTTAAGAGTATCCAAACCAAACTGAGAATTCCATGCATCCCACCAACACATGGAAATCTCGGAGGTAGATTGTTGGAATGGAATGCACACTCTCTTCCTGGAGAGATGCATCCTGCTTACCTAATTCCGGAAAGTATTATAATAATATAATAATAATCCTGTATTTGCATTTTATCACTTCTTTGAGATGTCTTGAAACGCTTCACAGAATATACTGTAAATTGAATTGACTGTATATTTTATGGCTGATATGCGGCAGCCAATTGCGCACAACAGTGTCCCACAAACAGTCATGGATTGAGTGACCAAATTGTTATTTAATTCTTGAAGGGAATATTACCCCGGAACAGAGCATGTGATGTAAGGGAACTTTTTGCCCTTCCAGGAATCGAACCCAGGTCCTCCCACTTGCGAGGCGTGTGCTCTAACTACTAAGCTACAGGATTCCATGAGGCGCAGGTTGGCAAGAGCCAAGGGTTGGGGAATCCCAGAGTGTGCGTTGGAGTCTAACCAGCTAAAACCGCATAGCTTGCCACTGTCTGGCAAGCTTTCCCGCTTTTGTGACCAGCTAGGACTACCCTACCCATTAGGGCTTTGTTTTACAGGATTAACAGGAGCAGCGTGGGATGATTCCCTGCTCCAGTGACTGGTCTGCCTTTCCAAGTCCTGCTGATGAGCCAGGTTGGCTGTGATGTTATCAGCAGCAGTGCCCTGGAATGCTATGGACCTGCCTGGCTTAATAACCTCAACCCCTCAGCCCAAGGAGGATAGTCACTTGTTGGTCATTTGACATCTGACAAGTGTGGATTTGAGACCACACTAGGTGGATGATGGGTACCAGGAACCCACAGCTCAGCATGAAATGCGTGAGAGCATTTCCACCACCACCCTGTCCGCAGCTCGGGCACATGTCCCCTCCCTCTGAGTGATGGTTCCACCAGTTGGCGGTGCAGAGCTTAAGCAGAAGCACTTGCCTCTTTGCAAGCCAATCAAGGTGGATTCCAGACATTGGATGTACGAACACGTGTTCACAAACTCAGACTCCAGGTAATGCCTTCCAGTAACTGTCGCCCCAAAGCTCAGAGTTTCCTTATCAGCTATCTGACATGCACCTGAACAGGCAGACAGGACCTCGGTTTAATGTCTCATCCGAAGAACGGCACAATCCAACATCCCCCCCATTATAGTGGGTACACGGCCTGCTTGTCGGCTTTCCCAACTCCTTCCTCTACAGAACTCTGCAGCCCGTGTCCTCTCCTGGACCAAACTCCGTGACCCCTTCTCCCCCACTCGCCCAACTCCATTGGCTCCCTATCCTTCAGAGGATCCAGTTCAAGATCCTGGTCCTCACCTACAAAGCCCTCCATGACCTCGCCCCACCCTACCTCTGCGACCTACTAACTCCCTACTAACCCACCCTCTCCCTCTGCTAGGCCGGCTCTGGCCTGCTCCATGTCCCCCAACCCACCTGCCCCATCATTGGCGGGAGAGCCTTCAGCCACTCTGCCCCCAACCTCTGGAATTCCATCCCCCAATCACCCTGCCTTGTCCCTCCTTAGCTTCCTTCAAGTCCCGCCTCAATACCATACTCTTCGACCATGCCATCGGTCAGTCCCCTTCCCCTCCCTTCTCCCTCCCTGACCCCAGCTCGGGTCTGAAATGCTGTACACTGTCCAGCGCCTTGAGACATCCTCCCGACATGAAAGGCGCTATATAAATGTAATCTTGTTGCTGTAGAACAAACCCTTGTCAAAAGCTACACTTCATATTGATTCAATTAGACTTTATACAATGGAGAAAATTGTATGTAAAAAAAACGCACAAAATTAATTCCAAAATAGACCAATAAAGACATTATAATCTTAAAAAATCTGCCTCAATCGGATGGACTAAAAGGAAGATGTTTTTTCTATAACAGGTTAGCTTATCATTTTGATTGTCATTCCCGAGTTGAGGACTTGTGGTTCAATGGAAAGGAGATCTTCATCCGGTTGTATGGAAGCAATGCTGATAATCTGTCGTTTTTATGTGTTTTTAGCAAGGGCACAGCGCATTAGCAGTCTGATCTGCAAGAGATGTTTTATTGCGAGCAAGACTAATCCCCCTGTGACACGGCAGATTTGTTGATGCATTAAGTGATGGCTTTTAGAAAAATTACCCCAAGCTTCCCGAAGTGTCTTGTATGAATCCCAGCCAGGACATGAGTCATTGGCAGTGATGTTAAAACATGAGAAACATCAGCTTCTGCTTTAGGTGAGTAGCATGTAAACAAATAGACTTGTCACATTCCTATCAGGATCTTGTATTGTTATTTATTGTTGTGCTAATATTCTTATTCTAAACATATCTTAATTGTGTGCTGCAAATCTGAATTTTGCAGCCCTTTTTGATACTATTTGGGCTGAATATGTGCCTTTGGAAGGATTTATTAATTTGATCTATTGTTTAATTTGTCTTTCTTTCAGATAAGGTCCAGCCAGAATTAACTGGCCACCTTTTCATCCTGAAATGCCACAGATGAAAAAGCAAAGAAATGCTTTTGATTGTTCTAGACGGTAATTGAATTATTTTATAACTAGATCACAACTTTATCTTCATTCTGCTCTGATCATTCTATATTATAAACATTCGGCCCAAATATTACCTTTCTGGTAGTCTTTTAAAGATTTAATTTAATATGTTAACTTCTCAATTTCCCTCCTTTCAATATTTCTGTCGCTGTTCATTCGTAAATTTGCATTTACACTTACATCAGCTTTCCACATGTAGCTCTTTCTATTACCCGAGTTTTCCCCTGATGCTTTTTCTCCTAGTCTCTCATCAATGTTTTTGAATACCTTGTACTTCCTATCCAAGAGTTAGTTTCAATGAAGCACTTCAACTCTATTCTCTCTCTCTGTCTGACTGTGCCCCCCACCACCACCCCACTCCTCCTCATGGCTTGGCGTTGTGCTCTGGGACGCTGCCTTGCATGAGTGGCGATATATAAATGCAAGTTGTTGTTGTCATCTTGATTCCTTACTTATTTGTGGTTCGTCTTTTCTGTATGTTTGCATCTAGAAAGCTGTCACAGTGTAAAATAAAGCCTGTATTTAGAATGATGTTAAAATATCACATTGATATATTACAACCTTCTTGTATATTTTAATACTGAGAGAAAATTAAGACATTTTCCATTTTGCTGGAACATGCTCCATTTTTGTGCTAATTCCCTTCTTGAACCTTGATTCTGAATGGCTGCTGCTGGTCTATAATGCAACCAAACCCTATGCTACCCTCCCTCAAAGGTCATTGATAACAACCCAGAGTAGAATTTTTCCCTTTTAGCCCAGGAAAACTGAGGCAAATTATACCATCAATACAACTGCAGTGAAATCTGAAACCATTTTACTCAGAATGAAACAAATCAGGGGATCTTTCTCATCCTTACGGCTCAGTGTTACGCAACGATATAATCACTGAACAATTGGAAAGGTACTTTAGCTATACCTTAATATCATTTTTGAAGGATATCATAATAATAATAATAAGCCTTGCATTTGATATAGAGCTTTATATATCATTGAGACGTCTCAATGCGCTTTACAAAATATACTGTAAAGTGAATTGACTTATATTTACAAAGTATTTTCTTCTCTTATCCTTCTATCATATATCATACCAAGTGCCTCTCTTTGGCTGAGAGTGTGGGAAAGTCATATGCTCCCAGTTCTTTGGTCTTTGTCAGTATTGCAGTGAAACTCGCTAATGTAAGTTGGACCAGGTTCAATCGTTTAGGTTCAATTGTGTGCTAATTATTCCTTCTTGCACCACAGGGCACAGTAGAAATTGGGAACTTGAGATGTGGAAAGCCATAAGTCACAGATCCATATCCGAGAATTAATTGACAGAATTTTCTCAAGAAAACAACAATCCTGAGAAATCAATGTAATCCTATAAAGTCCTAGAAAAGGTAGGGGGGTGGGGGGGATAATAAAAGATTTTCAAACATTATTGAAGATTTTCTATTGGTCAGCCGGATGTCTGACACATGCGGAAACCCATCCCCATGCTTAAGAGTATTCAAACCAAGCTGAGATTTCCATGCATCCCTTCTACACATGGAAATCCCACAGATAGATTGTTGGAGTGGAATGCCCACTCTCTCCCTGGAGAGACGCATCCTGCTTACCTAATTCCGGAAAGTATTAGGCACAGATTGGCAGGAGCCAAGGCTTGGGGATCCCAGAGTGTTGGGGTACTGCTGGAGTCTAACCGGTTAAAACCACATAGCTTGCCATTGATATTTATATTGATTGAAGATGGTGGCTGACAAAAAGTGAAGGTTGAAACGTGCCTTTTAACAAACAGTGTAGTCCAATGGAAGAATGATTGAAATTGTAAGATTGACGTTCAACTCCCCTTATCTTCTTGATCTGCATTTCTACTTCATACCTTGCATTGTGTTTTTCTTTCTAAATATAAATCTTTAGGTTATTTGTCTACTTATTTCTCCTCTCTCTTTGTCTGGTTCCTTTTATCTCCATTATTTGCTCACTGTTCTAAGTCTATTCTCACTTTAACTCACTTTGATGTATTGCTTTCAGTGGTATTCCTCGCCCTCCTGCATGTCTCTGCTCCCTGGGCATGCTTCCGAACTTGTCCTTCCGGCTGTGTCTGTAGTCAGGAACGAAGTTGCTCTGTTCTTTGTGACCGAATTGGGCTACCTGAGGTCCCCAAGGAGTTCCCGTGCGAGGCATCTGCTATCAATTTGGATAAAAACAACATCAAATTCTTGCCAGAGAGAGCTTTCGGGATTCTTCCAGCCCTCCGATCTCTCTCCTTGGACCACAACAACATCTCCTTCATCACCCCTGGAGCTTTCAAAGGGCTCCCGAATCTTATCGAGCTGAAACTAGCTCACAATGAATACATTAAGTACTTGCACACTAGGACTTTCAATGCTCTGAAACACCTAATCAAACTTGACTTATCCTGTTGTAATCTCTTCAACATGCCAGATCGGATCTTCATAGAATCAACTTCCTTGCAAGTGCTTGCCATTTGGCAGAACCAGTTCAGAAGAATACCTGGAGCTGTGAGAGGCATGGAAAGCCTAACCCACTTGTATCTGGAGCAGAACAGGATCGAAGCAGTGGCCTACAACTCTCTGCAAGGATTGATCAATCTGAAATATCTGAATTTTCAGGATAATAAAATAGCTGTAATTCACAACAAAAGTTTTCAAGACTGTGTGAAATTGGAATATCTCTATCTTAATGATAACCTTTTGAGCCATCTTCCTGAGTTTGCATTTAAAGAACTCAAGTTTCTGAAGATGTTGAACTTGGGAAACAATTTTCTGATGAAGGTATCCAATATGTGGTTCAGTGACTTGATTGAACTAGAGGTTCTTTATCTGGATAGAAATGGAATCAGCTACATAGAAGAAGGGGCTTTTGAGAATTTGACCAGTTTGATTGCCTTGCATCTAAATAGCAACAACCTGACTTCCTTGACATTTTCAGTCTTTCAGCCAGTGTACTTTATAGGTAGACTCTACCTCTTCAGGAATCCATGGGAATGTGATTGTAGGATTGAGTGGTTGAAGGAATGGATGGAAAATTACAAATTGGTCAGGGATATTCCATGCATCTCCCCACCTTCAGTAGCAGGAATGGACTTAAGCAAAGTCATCTTCCCCAGATCTCCTGAGGGATTTTGCTTAGATCCAGTGGAACAAAACCTGACCTCTTACCTCCCAACTACAACAGAATGGCTCCGATCTACCACAGAGAATATGCTAAGTAGCCTTATCTCTAAACTGCTTCTTCCAAAATTGTTTGAGGATGATGTTGGGAATAGCACTGAGATATTTAGGAATGTATCAGATCCAGATGGAGTCAACGAGAAGGTATCTGCAGCAGCTGACATACGACTTTATCCGAATAACGTACAAGTCATGTTCCAGATTCTCATTATTCTTATTGGTATATTTTGCTATAACATATGACTTATTTTCCACTAAGCTGCTGGTGGGCTAAGCCTAGTCACCCATATCCATGAAGCTGCTGTGCATGTCATCGGAAGGCATTTGGTTTGTGCCCATCATTGGGAACTTGAATTTGAATGTGAGTCTCCTCAACCTATATGTAGTGAACACAAGGATGGTTGAATGCAGTGGTAAACTGCAGAATTACGTTGCTATTGCTTACTCTCAAAAGGCATATGTTTGTTAGCAACTAGTGTTCCATCCTGTCTTTCTACAATTTGTTTCTGCAAACTCACAGTAACCTTTACAGATGCTTTCTTAAAAACATCTATGAATGTCACAGTGCAAAACAGAGCTTTATTACTCTTCCTGTTAGTTGCAAACATTTATTAGTGTACAGGCAATGAACAACTTGCATTTAAAATAAGGATTTTTGTAATGAATACAAGCAATATGGCTTGGAATTGGAAATGCTCTTTTGAAAAAATATATATTTTAACTTTAGTGGCACAGAGTAAAATGTATTCTAACCAAATCATATAATAATAATGCTTGTATTTATATTGCGCCTTTTACAGTGGGAGGATGTTTCATGAGTATTACTATTATAAATAGCCTTATAGGCTTTACTGTAGTACGGAGACAGCCGTGAAGTAAAATTAATTTATTCATAGAAATTTTCTTATTGATAAGATATAAGAAATTGATTAATATAGCAAATGTACCTATCCGTACAAGTGAAAAAACTAACCGTCGTCCACAATAGACAGACAGACTGAAAGTCATCCACAATTGTACTAGTTTTATATACGAACTTCAGGGATTTGCTAAGTGTAATTTGGAAGATAATAATCTTCTTGGTGGATTGGGGTTACCCTTACTTTGCATTGTGATTGTGCACTGTTTTGAAACCCATTCCCATTGTCCAGAAGGAATAGATATAAGATTTAATTTAAACTTATATGAATATCATAACTTTCTCCTCTCATATTAAGGGAAAAAAATCAATGATAGGTGTATGTCACACGTGTAATATACAATAATCCTTGCATTTGACATAGTGCTCTAAGATACTATATATAGTGAAATACTTGAAAAGCGATATATAAATGCAAATTGTTGTTGTTGTTATTTATCACATCATCAAACCACTTCACAGACGTTCATTGTGAAGTGTAGCAAATGCGCATCTCTGCGTGAATGTGGCACAAATTTGTGTGCAAAATTATCCTTTTCTTTTGGTCAGCTGGGTGTCTGATACATGCGGAAACCCATCATCATGCTTTAAGAGTATCCAAACCAAGCTGAGATTTCCATGTATCCCACCTACACATGGAAATCCCAGAGATAGATTGTTGGAATGGAATGTGTTCTCTCTCCCTGGAGGGATGCATCCAGCTTACCTAATTCCAGAAAGTATTAGGCGCAGGTTGGCAAGAGCCAAGGATTGGGGATCCCAAAGTGTGCGTTGGGGCACTGCAGGAGTCTAACCAACTAAAACCTTATAGCTTGCCATTGATATCACTGTCTGGCAAACTTTTCCGCTGCTTGTCCAGTTAAGGCTTTGACTTGCGGGGTTAACAGAAGTTGAGTGGGATGACTCCCTGCCCCCAGTGACTGGTCTATCCTTCCAGGTCCTGCTGATGAGCCAGACTGGCTGTGCTGTCATCAGCAGTGCCCGGGAATACTGCCGACAATCCTGGCTCAGGAACTGGACTACCGAGACTGCCACAGAGGGCGGGCTCAATTCTGATATTCCGTTGCCAAGCATGTCACTTGCAGTCAGGTTAAGGTGGAAGCAATTGGGGTGGTGAGGCGGAGCATGAGGTGAGGAGAGGAGATTGGGGAGCATTAAACCGGAAACCAGGCTGGGGTTTGAGCTAGTTCGGTGAGGAGCAGTCAGGCGGTTGAGCCAGAGGTGAGTCGGGATGGAAGTGGGATATGAGCCATGGTGGTCGGGCTCAAAAAGGGTTTTAGTGATTGTGTGCTGACTACAAGAGGGCTTGGAAATAGAAGCTTAATGATCAATATGCGGGTCTCATTCTCTCCATCATCACCAGGGCACTGAGTGGTAGAATAAAAAGGCTGAAAATATTAGGTTGAAATGTTGTCAAAAGACCAAGCCAGTCAAAAAAATGCCCATTTCTGAATTTTTAATTGAAAGGTATTCCTACAAAGAAAATAATATGTTTGATGATGTATCAGAGGTGAATGCTAATTGTATGATTTTCACTTGTTTCAGATTTACCAAATGACTAAAGCAGTGGATTACAGGGTACCAAAATTAATTCAGGGCATGCTCAATTGAAAAATAGCATCCTGGCACCTGTGGCTTTGGCCAAATGCGAAAAGTTCGGCAAGGATATTAATAATCTTCAGAGCTGTCACCTATAACATACTTTAAGAACCTTTAGCGTAAGGTTTTCTGTGCCATTTTGTATATAGAAAACCCCTTTTGTATTGATGGATTTCCAAATAAAATCGTTATTCTGTGGATTGTTAGGCTACGTTGTTTAACTGTTTTAACACAGCAAAAATATACCTGTAAATCTACTCAAGAAATGTGTCAAACTGGTTTTGATTTCTAAATCGTATAAACTGTTCATCGATTCAGTTTCCTGACCAACAATCAGATCAAAAAGGACATGACCATGTCTGTAAACAAAAAGAGAACTGGGAGTTTGGAAAATAGATATTCAACTCCTGTGGAACCGCAAAAATCTCTCAGCCTCTATTCATTCTGTACATAAACATTTAATTTAGCCTAATATACATAAATAGCATTTCTTCATAGGAATCAAACACATTTTGTTTATTTTAAGAATATTACATTGTTTGGCTTCATAAATTTCTTTAATTCTATATAATCTTTTGATGGAGGAAAGAAAGACTACTCATTTGGTTGTGTTTTTTATTATTTGAGGAGAAAAATGGAGATCTGAAATAGTGTATCTCTATATGACCACAAAATTATATTATATTTCATAACAGGTAGTCTTGAAGGAGGCACCTCAAAAGGGACTGTTTTTACATTTTAAATGGGAAACATGAATAACAACTTGCATTTATACGTTGCCCTTTGCGTAGGGTAAAGACTTTGAACACTTTACAAAAGACAGGATTAGACGTTGAGCAAAGAACGGAGGGAACAGCAAGTCACCTTAAGTCACATTAGAAGAGGTAGGTTTTCGGGAGGGATGTAGACAGAAAGAGAAGGGGTAGCGGGAGGGAGTCCCAAATGTTAGGAGCATAGGATCTGAAAGCTTGGTTACTGATGACAACGTGTAGCGCTGTGGGATGTGCAACAAACCTGAGTTAGCCAAACAGAGGGGGTGAGCGGAGTAGGGTAGGAACAATATTTTCAGAAGCTCCAAGATAGTGGAACAAGAGGCCGAAGATTTAGAGTTGCAAATACCAATGTCAAGACTGCACTAGGAAGTACTTATTTACCTGGATTTTAATTAACAACTGGAGCAGGTTACCAGAATCCTGGCTGGACTTTTAAAAAGCAGTGTGGCTAAATGCTGTATTATGGATTTGCACACTCACGTGTGAACCTTTATGGTATTTATTGGAAGATGTAAGGTGCATGTGTCCCAACTATTGACTCACAGCAGTATCAGTTAAAAAAAAAGGTCACTCACTCCACGACTGTTTGTGGACACTGCTGTGCGCAATTGGCTGCCGTGCTTTGCCCACAAATACATAGTCAATTCACTTTACAATATATTCTGTAAAGTGCTTTGTGACGTCTCAAAGGTTTGAAAGGCGCTAAACTAATGTAATTTGTTGTCTCAACAATGTGATAAAGTGCTATATCAAATGCAAGGGTTATTATCTGGAGGTTGTGGTCAACACCAACTTTTGCTTCAACACTGTTCTTTGGGATTGCTCTAAGGTGGGCAAAGACACTTATACTCCTCTCTTCAAATGAGTGAAGTCCTAATGCAGGTTAAGCTTTGCAGCATGTACCTTGGGCGTTCAAATAGTTCTCATTCATGGCCCTGAGCTCCTCACCACGCAGCAGGGAGATTTCCTTCAGTCATCTTGCGAAGTCTATAACCAAGCAGTGAGATGGATTTATGGTAGAAAAAGAAAACAATTGCAGGGGAGGAGGGCTCCGGCAAAAACTGGCCTGGCACTCAGCACCTTGGAGATGCAGTTGGCTTTATGGTGAGCAATTCTCTGCTAAAGCCCTTACATGAAGACCTGATTTAAGTGGTTGATGTTGAGTAAGCCTGATATGTGGCATTTGATTTGGACCTCTAGAACAGGTGGCTGGCACATCACATGCTGTCCTGCATTATGCTATACATCTTGCTCAAGGCAGATGTCCATCTGAATAGCTGATGAGTAAATCTTGAAGTCCAGGTTGACAAACTCATATTCGTATATTCAGGGCTTGTTATCCACCTTAATTGGTCATTAGAGAGGTAAGTAGCTGCTGTTGAAGTGCTGCACTTCAACAAATAAAACCATCGCTCAATGAGTAGAGAGATATGTCCAAGCAGGATAGTGGCAATTCTCTCAAGCATTTCGTACTGAGTTATGCTGCTCAAAAAGCTTACAAGGAGTTCCTGGGACTTCCTATCCACCCCAGCGAGGTCTCAAACCTGTGCTTTGTAGAGATCTAATGACAAAGTAGTGACTATCCACTGGGGTGGAGGCAGAAGGTAGGTTACTTGGAGCTGAACTGCCTCCTTTATGATAGTGTTAGTAGTTTAATTTCTAAACTAGGTGGGTGCGAACTCATAAGATCAGTATGGGTGCAGAAGGCCCTTCAAATCTTATCTTATCCCTCCATAATACCCACCCTACAGTCCATCACAGCATCAAGCTGCTTTTCAACCGTCCAGTGAGTACTGGCCTAAACCATCCTAAACCAACGTGTTCCAGTCATTAATTACCCAGTTTCAGAAAAAGGGAAATTTCCATGTGTAAATGGCATCTATATGTAGAATTCTGATTTGGATAGTTTAAGCATTGTAACAGGTTTTGACCTGTGACAGGCACCCCGATGACTTGAAACAGAACATATTTATCCAAGAAAATTTTGTGATCAACATTACAAATATGTTTCCAGGAGTATACTGTAATATACTTCAACTGAGGTTTAGTAGGCTCCCTGTTTTCTACTAGTGCTGATCTTGAGGTAGTTGTTTTTAAGGTCCTCAGCAGTAATAAGAATAAGAATAATGTTTGACTTGTACCTCCATTTGACAATGCAATTGAACTCAAAAAGTCACTGCTTGGTAGAATCGCCCATTCATCATACCCACATTTAAGTGTTTACTCTTACCTTCTATTTATTAACATTAATTTGCATGTCAGTCAACTTGTTAAAATCTTTTTAAAAGCTGTTTATCTCCCTTATACTGGGATTAGAAACAGAATCCTGTAGAACTCTGGCAAAGAAATGGATAAGAGCCCAGCATAGACCATTTGAAACATAGCTTCTTCTAGCTAATCATAAAGGATATTGATGGAAGGCACAATAACCACATCTTAGACTTGCCATGTTAATCCTGACTGGAGAAAGATATCATGAGAAGAGGAAGTCACTAACTCACTTCAAATTACCATATAGTTAACTGACTCCATCTTGACTGTACATTATAAATAAATAATAATCCTTGCATTTGATATAGCGCTTTTCACGTCGGGAGGATGTCCCAAAGCGCTTCACAGAACACACTGTAAAGTGAATTGACTGTATATTTGTGGGCGAACGCGGCAGCCAATTGCGCACAGCAATGTCCCACAAACAGTCGTAGATTGAAAATGACCAATTTATTATTGTTTTTTTTTTGTTGTTTTTTGGAGGGATTATTATTAGGAGTGTGGAGTAAGGAAACTTGCCCAAGGTTTCGCCTTACCTGGAATTGAACTCAGGTCTCTCGCTTGCAAAGCGAGTGCTCTAACCACTGAGCTACAGGACTCATTACATTCTATAGCTTCAAAAGAGGTCCACTTTGCCTGACCAACTTCAGATTTATTTTGAGTTAACATTGCAAATCGACAGTGGAAAGACATAACGTAAACATAACTAAATCTCCAAAATTGTGATAATGTTACACACCAATTTCCAAATGGCAGTGATTTTCAAGGGTAAAGATATAGACCAATAATTAACTAAAAATAAAACAGGGTAGTCATAAGCAGTGTTGAATAGGGGAGGTATTGAGGATGCAAAAATACCAGTAACCCATATTGCAGACTTGATGTAAGAGATTTGTTACATTTGCAGATAATACTTAAGAAAATGGACAATAACTGGATTCGGAGGAGCCAGGTATATATTACAAATGAAGAGGGCAATGAATATCTTACAAGAGAAGACTTGATAGCATATATACCTGGGCTAATATCGGAGTGAGTCGGTGCATCCAAAACAAATTGAATGTTACATGGCCAACTCGATTGGATTTTAATCTATTGACATCATGCTAAATAGTCTTGTTCAAGCCAAACATGGAACACTTCATACAGTTCTGGTTGCCTTACCAGAAGGGAGAAATCTAGACACTGAAGGCAGTGCAGAGAGCAATGAGGCAATGTTATTCATCTCCTACAATACGTTTTATAATTGTTGCATTTGAAATAGAGCCTTACCATGTCTTTGAGTCTCAAAGCGCTTCACAGAATGTACTGTAAATTGAATTGATTGTATATTTTATGGGTGAAACGTGGCAGCCAATTGCTCACAGCAGTTGTAGATTGAATGACCCAATTTTTTTTGAAAAGATTATTACCCCAGTAAAAACGATCTGCCAATCAACTACAACTGGGTTCCTACTTACTACTGGGTAAACAGAGGCCTGTGTGTGGAGTAAGGAAACTTGCCTAAGCTCTTGGTCCGGCCGGATATCAAACCCGGGTCCACTTTAGTGCTTAGAGTGCTCTAAGCACTACGCTACAGGACTCCACAGGTAATCAACAGCTGGAATGGGATAATGGAAAGATGGTTCAGGCCATGACTATAATAATAATAATAATAATCCTTGCATTTGATATAGCGCTTTTCACGTCGGGAGGACGTCCCAAAGCGCTTCAAAGAACACACTGTAAAGTGAATTGACTATATTTGTGGACTAGGACATCTGATTCATTTAAGAAACAGCTTGAAGCTAAAATGGGAAGACTTGAGGGTTAAGCATTATTGTGGGTAGTGCCCACAACACACACTGCGATCACTCCCCCCGCTTTACCTGGGAAGCGTTTTTGGATGTCCTCCAGACTTGACTGCCAGTATCAAATGTAAGGGTTCCAGATAAAGAATTCCAGCGAGAGACCTGGGTTCGATTCCAGGCAGGGCAAAATGTTGGGAAAGTTTGCTTCCTCCACATGCCTGTGTTTACCTAGCAGAAGGTAGGAACCTGGTTGTTAGTCGATTGGCGGATCGCTTTTCTGGGGGTAATAATTTCTTCAAAAAAAATAAATTGGTCACTTCAATCCACGACTGTTTGTGGGACACTGTTGTGCGCAATTGGCCGCCGCGTTTCACCCACAAAATATACAGTCAATTCACTTTACAGTATATTCTATGAAGTGCTTTGAGACGTCTCGAAGGTGTGATAAGGCGCTAAATAAATGCAAGGATTATTATAAAATTGGTCGCTTGATCCATGGCTGTTTGTGGGACATTGTTGTGTCCAAAATAGTCACCACACTTTACAGTATAAACTGGTAAGTGCTTTGACAGATATCAACACGTGATAAGGCGCTATATCAAATGCAAGGATTGTTATTATTATGAAATGAATGGCTTTCTTCATCCATGCATCTCATGATATTGGAGTTAAAATTGCAACATTACAGATGCATTTTCATGTGCTTAAAAAATGTGTTAAAAGAAATTCCATCTATTAGTAAATATTGTTTGCGGGTGTGAACAACCAACATACCACTTCGGCTGAATGGTTGGGCCCGAAGTATGTCCAAAAATGTCAGTGCTGCCATTGTTGTTGCTGAGCATGGCATTTCAGATCCACTTCATAGAATGACTGAATTGAAAAATATTCCAACTTTTCTAGTGCCAAATGGCAAGGGCAACAATTTTTTATTCCATCATCTACTGTACATTGATCATAGTTTGATTATTTCTAGTTTTGAGTATTGTATTTGCTATGTTCTGGAAGGCTATAATTAATGACTTAATTTTACCTATAACTGAACTGATATGTTTATAACAGAGGGCACTAAATGGTAAACTGGAGTCATTTTTTTGGTGTGAAAATTGCAGAAAAACATTAATAAAGAATTCATGAATTAAACAATAAATGTTGCTATTATAATTGATCTACATATTCTTCAAAATTCTTGACTGTACCATTTGTCCTTTAATACATTTCCATAGCCAATTGTGTTTCACCAAAGCATCCATGGCAATATTATTATTCAATAATGCAACAATATGCACTTTCTGAAATGTGTAACAGATATGTAAATCTCCTTTCAATACTGTTAGGAATGGTAATATTACATCAAAGAAAGTAGGAATTAGGTTACAAAATGTCTTAAGGCAAACAATGCATTCATCTGTGCTCTAAAATCCTGATGGGAACAGGTTTAAAAATACCATTTTTCTCTATCTGAACTGAGTTTTCTGAAAATATGAAAATGCTCAATAGGTTTCAGTTGTGAAGTTGTGCTTTGTTTTCTTTTACATTTTCCACAGTATTTTCATTTGTATATTACATGACCAGTCGTACTGTTCAGTTTGTGATGTTCAGCACCATTTGCTGGTCCTGCCATTGACCACTTACATAAGTGTAGAACGTACAGCTTTATGATCAAACACAAGGTTGTCATAGGCAGGCAGCTGTACTGAAGGTCAATAACTGTAGCCCATTCAGTTTTACATGGTTATATTACATCAATTCAATACGTTGTAGAAAGGTGACAAGGGAATAAACAAAACTCAGAAAAATTGACCACATAAAAGGAAGTATATTTTAAAAAATTGTCCAGACTGTAGTTTCTGTGTTTGTCGTCATCTTCGGAGGCATTTACAGGCCAGTTAGAATGAAGTAGTGTTGTGAGCTGAACTGCTTGTACCCGACAACAAACCTTTTCTTCTTTGCCCAGTATTTCTATAGTAAAATGTGTGCATTTTGTAAATACATTTACTTTCATGATAAAAATTAAACAATTTTTCCAGATTCAACGTAATTAAAATATTTATATTCAAAGACGACACATATCTGAAATGGCAAAACTGGTAATTCTTCCCCTTAGAACAAATTAAATTGCAACAAAGTACAAACACATTTCACTACATGATTAAAAATCAGTTGTTTATAAACTTGCCCACAATGCAAGGGATGTGCATAGGTTTACAGTTGTTTTTTTGAATAATTATTCCCTTGGGTAATTTTTTCCAACAAATGGAATGTAAGTTGCTGTAGAATACAGTTTCCAACACAGATACACCAACAGCATGAATGCTTGTAACTGTCCACATGCAGTAACACCCGATTCAAACCTCTAAAATGTTTGTACATTTTTAAATTTTAAGTGACAGTATCCCTTTTAACCTAGGTAGGTGGGTTTCCTTTTAAAAAAATCAGAACTACCCAATGCTTTTATTAACACAACCACCCTCCAAAACATGGCTGAAGGCTTTCAACGTTCCATGCCCAAAATATTGGTTAAGGTTTCCATCAGGGACTTTTAAGGACTGCAAATGATGTAGATTCTGCATTTAAAATAAATTAATGTCCAAATTAAAATTAAACTGAAACATTTGCAAATAGCCTGTGTACTAGTAAGAGCACGCCATTTACACTGGTAAATTAAAAGGATGCACGTCATTTGAAAAATATTTATTTAAAGAAATGAGTGTCTATAAAATGTGTAAGCTTTCTTTTGGTTTATTTAAAATAAGTCTCATAGTAAAAAGAAGTGTTCATGCACATTTTCAGAGTCGTTTTGGACTTTGTATAGTGTACATGCATAGGTTAGAAGGCATTTTTTAGATCAGATTTTTGATAAGTCTGAAGTACAGCCCAAACCCAACTTTAAAAAGGGACACTGTCTCTTTAAGAGTTTGGTAAAAGTTTTCTCTCCATCCATCTAGTAGGACATGACAATAAATCAAAAAATTTAGGGCACACTAATCCTAGGCAGTATATAAGGGGCAAGACTTGATGCTAGGTCATTTACAAAGTCTAATGTCAGGGTGATGCTAGGGAATGATAAAGTTCATGGTTTCTCTGCCCAGTCCTTAATATACCCAGGAGACAGGGACCCACTGCGGTGTAGTACACACAAGTTCAATGGCTTCTTCCAGATGCCTGATGGTCTCATCTATTTCATTGTTGATTATGGTTAGATCAAAGTAGTGTGCATATGTTTTCTGTAGGATTTCTGATTCCTTCTGCAGGCGTTGAAGAGATTCATCCTGAAGAACAAAAAAAATGATGAAATCATAACCTTTCTTATGAAGAGACAATTATAGTTTTGACAGGGGGTGTAGAGGACCTTGCCTTGAAAGCACCCAGACTACTGACCATGTCTAAGGTTTGTTGTCGATCTAGAAATGGTCAATGCTGGCTGTTCATAGTGCCAAATATGAAGTTAAGGTTTGCCACTAGAAATAGCCTATTTGTAATATTTTACAGTGTGGACATCTCCCACAAACGTTACATCCATAAAGTAGTGATGGATGGCGTTCAGTTCTCCATTTTAAAGGATTAGGAACCAAGGAATAGTAGTCCTGGCCTTACATGTAGCAATACATAAGATCCCCCTATCAAACAATGTTCCTCTACATCCATCAATCTGTTTCTCCAGAAACTTTTTCCTGCCCACCAACTATAAACATCGGGAATCATTTTTTTTATTGTCTGATTATTTAATGTTAAAATACTAATCAGGAAGAGATCTGTTACTGGAGTTCCCCCTGACGAATTTTAAAAACATATAATTGAAATAGTAAATGCACACAGTTTATTGGAAATCTCTCACAGGAGGATTCAAAGCCAGGGGACAATCTCCCTGGACCATGTGCCAACTGTATTGGTGTTGTCAATACATTGGGAGCAGACTGTCTACATAGTCTCTCAGCAGCAAGTGTCAAGCCAGATGGCTGAAGAAAGGTGATAAAAATAATGAATGAAAAGGAATGAAAATGCAGAATCCAATCTATTTCTTTAACAGAGCTGCAGGTCTGAGACAGGTTTAGTATCGTCTGAAATGTTGAGCAAGATAGCTCAGTTTTAGTATCATTTCTATAGTTTCAGAAACGACAAAGCAATGCTCACATTAAACTGGCAAAATGATGCTTAACAGCAGTCAAATACCTGATTACTGAAAAGAAAATCCTTTGCAAAATATTAATCCTGGTAACATTGGCACCAATGGGAGTCAGCAACATTACCCTAACCAGTGGTCTATCTAACAGTAGATAATGTGGATTAACTTGACCTACTCATGTTGTTACTCTGGCACTATATCAAGAGCATTGTTTAATATACCAAAACGGGTTTCAATTGTTAAAATACCATAAAAGCTTTCTTTATCTAGTGCAGTCCTATGTTTATGTGATTCTGAGCAGCCATGTCAAAAAGCTAAAGAGTATCCTGGATGAATGGGAATGGAACCCTAACGTATTGTTTTACCTATAGAACGTATATTTAAATAATACTGACAACATGAAGATTTTAAATTGACTACTTCAAAGAAATACATATGCAATTTAACTGATGTCATCTTTGATAACATCAGCTGCCTTTTCTACATGATGTAAAAGGCTAAAAGAACACATACAAAAAACAAACAAGTCTTGCTCACATTCTAACTTGCATCACTATTAACGATCTATTTTAAAACACACAAAGCTCTACGTACAGATATCCTGAGAAAATGCTGCTCTTTCTCAGTTCAGACTACAGTATCACTGATCACTACATAGTATAGCCAGTATTTCCATATTGACACCCTCTGGCTAATGCGAATACTTACAGGTAGCTTTTTGCACCACCTTGGGATCTTTGTAAAAATAGTTAATGATGGAAGAAAATAAACAGAAAAAGTCATCAGTAGCATCAGCAGATTTGAGTTTTAGAAAAAAAGGGAGGGAGAGAAAAGGTGAAAGAGTGAGGGTCAGGACACAGGAAGCAAGGTGGGTGAATCTGGTTTATCGGTTGTATCCAGCTCATGAATTGTCTTCCTGTCCAATTCTTAACAAAGACTTAACTCTTCCCGCCTTCCTCATTATGCCCCATTGTAATTCATTGAACGGAATCAATCTTGACCATTTTATTCTTGTAGCTTTGAAGTAATAAATAGTCTCCATGAATTTACAACATTAACAAAGTATTAAATTAGCATAACACCCATTTAATCATTTAAGGTACAGTGGGACAATAAAAGTACAACTCAAGCTTACAGTGGCTTTGGTACAGTAAAGTAGGACCATAATGTCTGCTGGTGATACAATGGCTTCTAACTTGAAAATAAGCTTACTTAATTGTTGCCTCACCTCATTCATGCCTGGTGTAATAGTAGGAGCAGCAATGAAAACGACAAACGGGGCAAACTCTGAGGTCCGCAAAACCTTCAAGGCCTGTGACAAAAAGATTTAAATTAAGGATAGGCAGAGAATGGACCCAAACACGAATGTAGATGAGGAACACACCTTTACTTAGCAACTGACTCCCTCAGTCCACAAATCACATCTGGGATGAGTTCCATAAACTCTTAGCCAGGATGACACCAATCATACCATGTAGAAATTGTGCACTTTACCTCAATAGAAGCAATGTGAAAGGCGCTATATAAATGTAAATTGTTGTAGTATGAACAAATGCAGCACCTTATAAATAACAAAGTTAATTTAACAAACTTCCCTAACTAAAGGGTTGAGCTAAGAATATATTAAAAGATTTTTTTTAAAAAAACTCCACTATTCTTTTCCTGAGTGCAATCTGAGTGATTCAATCATTCAATCTGGGTGCAATTCCATAGGCTCTGCTGTCAATTAAGAAACCTTGTTCAATTGGCCGTTCTTCAAGTGTGAGCTTAAGCAGTGAGTTTGGTGATGTGAACCACAGCCTAAGATCAAGTACACACTTGCACTTTCTAGCAGAGGTCAACCTGTTCTGATGAGGAGCCCTGGGTCACTGTTGCAATAAATAGCACAGTCAATTGCAGCATTGTTATTGTCAGCCTGTCTGAGGTCAGCTAACTGGGCACTGGTCTGGGACTGAACACGGGACCTTCAGTTTTATGTGGTACAACATTATACAACTGAGTTGACTGGGAGCTCTCAAAAGGTGAGGTCCTAATTCTACCTTGTGTTACAGGCAGAGCAGCAGTTGCTCTAAAGATTCTTCAACCAGCTGCTCATTTTACTGGTGCGCACACTACATTGATTTCTTGTGCTGAAGTCTATGAGAATTAATTAAAAATCTTTTCCATAAAGCCTTCACTATATTTTCTCCTCAGGGTCACACACCACAGAATCACTTACTAGTTTGAAAGATGGTTTCTTCATATAAAATGAAGTAAACTAATCTTGCATCTTAAAAATGCAGGAAGGTTGAAATTGCAGTAAACATTGAACAGTATTATAAATATATTGATCCTTTTTTTGTATGGGGGTTTACAATGCACTATAACCTGTGAGTAGGGAGTATCCAGAACTGGATCTTTATTAGCATAAATGTGGATATAACTAGAAAATGAGCAACAAAATAAACATCCAACAATGGTAAATGTTCCAATGCCATCTGTTTATTTTCACTCATCCCTTCAACTGGAAACCCGATAGTAAAGAGCTTAACAAGAGATAATTGCATAGCGCAGTGCATGTATAATCTCTTGTGTACGCACTCTAGGCTTGTTGTAGTGTATGATATTGAACAGAGAATTCCTTGGAGAGCGACACAAACCTTTTAAACAAAATACTCAAGTTAAAGGTTTTTGCTCATCAGCATTACTTAACCCCTAAGCTCTCATCAGATGCTCATTAATACCTGGGGCTCAACATCTAGTATTGCAATCAGTCCTTGTTCGTGGATCTTGCGTATCGTTTCCAGTTTTGTCCCATACATTGCATCCTCGTGGCTGCCATACTCCAAATAGTCATTATTCGAAATATCCTGCATCATTTGGTCATGTGAAACAAAATGGTAATTTTTGCCATTTTCTTCGTCTTTTCTAGCAGGTCGGGTAGTGTCTGCAAAATGCAACAGTATTAGGTTAGTAAAACATTTCACTGGCGCCAGTGCTTCTTCAACTATATTTCACTATACAAACAATATATCACCATACAAAGGAAATATTTTTTTATACAGAGGGTAATCAATAGAAAGGGTTACCAGAAAGGATACTTGATGCCATGACTAATTTATGATCAGTTAATAAGAACTTGATGTTAATAATCTTTGCATCTGATATAATTCCTTATGTAAAAATGTTTCAAAGCAGTTTGCAAAATATTATTCTGAAAAATGTGGTTATTGTGTAGGCGAACAGGGGAGATGGTAGGGTTCGGATTTTGGAAAGATCAAATGTAATGAAGGACCCTATTCATTCAGACTTCTCTTAGAAGAGCCAGGCAAGCCCAAGTAATTCAAAGCACCTTTGATTAGCCTGTCTGGCTTCATCAATGAGACTTAAAATGCATAGACATATTTTCATATATTAGATCCAAAACCTTAATGGGTTGGGACTGTCAGCTCAATACTGGTAGATTGAATGGTTACTGTTCCACATTTTGATATTGCTTACTTGAGGATAATAACCTATATATTACGCATGGCTGTCCAACAATTCATAATCCAATTAAATTTAAATAACACGTTAGAAAATGAGCAAATTTTCCCAGTTACTTACGTGGAATAGGATATGCAAATCTGTCTGGATGTTTTGTGATCAGTGTGTTTTTAATGTGTCTTCGCCCAACCCCATGGGCACCTATTTCATTAAAAAAACAATAATGCATTTATTAAAAACAAATTTGGCTAATGTTTGGCAATCACTATCCTACAATATTAAGTATCAAAATCAGGATTTCATTACCTAGTAACACTAGTGTCTTCCTTCTAAAGGCCGGCAGTTTTACTACTTCTTCATATGTGACGAGATCTAGTTGATCAAAGACTAAAAGAGAGATCCATCATGAGAATACATTGGATATTAGGAGTTGATCACAATCATGTCATAAATAAATTAAATTACAGAAAGATCTTGACTGTCCTGAAATGTAAATATAAAGCTGAAAATAACTGTAAAAGTTTGACATGCCAAATGAAATTATTTACTCATTTACTTTTAAAATAGATAAAGGCTAAGTCATTCGCTCATCAAACTTTTCTTATGCTACTTATAAAGAATACAGCTCAGCTGAATAGATTGGTTCATAAAAATAATCAGTTGTCAAAACTAATTTTTTAAAAAAACCAAAGAAAATTGAAAAATGGTGTACATAGAAATTTTAATCTGCATTCTTTCTAAAAGACTTCAAATTACATTTCATGGCATACATTTCAGAACTTTCCTTTATTAGAGCAATTACGAATACCAAAAGACACATAAATTAATATTTATATGGAACACAAACATTCCTTTTAATGCAATACGTCTAAAATATGGGAACATGTTTCCCGTGTGACTTTATTACTTTGCTAAACAGCTTAAATAGTTAAATAAAATGAAGACTCCCAATTTTTCTGTAAGTACTTTTTGTTTCTGTTATGGAATAGGTTTCTCATGGTAACATTGAGCTCTGATGTACTGAATCCCAGTTAACACTGTAGCCGAATGTGAAAAATCATGACAATCTTTATCACTGGATTGCTTAATTTTCATGACATTTCTCTGCCTGGATGTTAATAAGATTAGTTAAAGTGAAACTCAAATTATAATGGCCCTCAGTAATATGCAACTACTTTAAAAAGGAAACATATTTATTGAATTTTGGAAACCTCATACAGCTGAACATAAACAGGTCAAATAATTGCATCTTTTAGGTCTGGTCCTTTAAGCCAATCCTCAACATTAGTAGTGCCTACATGCTCTGGTTATCCAAATTGTATTGGTGGGGACCATGGGTGCTTGATACACTTCCTCTATTGTCTAACTGCTTGATGTGTTTTCAAATTCTCTTCCTTCCTATTGCAATTGTGCCCACAAGCCTCCCTCCCTAGCTGGTCAATGCATATTTATAAATGCTACTTTTGAAGTGAGATAATTCCAGGGTTTACCACTGGGTACGTGAAACTGTCTCAGCATCCTTCATACATTGGTGATATAATATTACTAGAATAAGACCAGCTTCACATCAGGCAGGAGGAAGGCCATCCAACATATGGGTGGATTCTAGGGAAGTAGTGAGGGAAGAGAAGAGCGGACACAGATCAGGCAAGTGAGGAAAGTATAAGGCACAAGGAAAGAATAAGAGACACTGAGTGGGTGGCAAGAGAATAATAAGCTCATAATTATTATAATATTATCTTTGAATCCTGCTTTAGCCACAAACACAAATTTCATTTTGGGATTGTGGGTAAAAGTTCTAATGGGAGGCATGCTTCATCCCCATTTAACAAGTGGAAAAGGATTCTCTCATATTCAAACTGAAAGAGGGGGAAAAAAAAGCACCATCCTTATTCCCAGTATTTTATGAACCAACTACAAATATCAAGTCATCAGATTTCATATTTTTTTTAAAAAAAGCAACACTTGACATTCAAGTCAAAGATTTCAAAGCCTGGGGAAAATAATGAGTTGACTAGGTACAAACTAGATCAAAACACTAGGAATTTTCAGGTGTACTTACAGGGAGATTACGAGTCTACACAGAGGATCCATCACACAGTTAAAGCAGCATTATATTTTTACAAATGCAAACATTTAGTCTTCATACTCAAAATACCAAACTATTGGTTGTTTTTATCTCTCTACTGTTTGATCATTGCTAATACTGCTGTTTGCAGGAGGGGTCAGTGGCAGAATAGTTCTTTAGTAATCTCCATGGAGATTCTTTAGTTTTGTTTTTTAAAAGATGTACTAAATATATTTAAAATTGCACACGTCAAATCTTTCCTCCTCCTCTTTTCACACACAGCTGCTACAAATCTTTTAATTTAGAAGATTGCCAAATAATATAGGTCACCCAATAACCAAAGGCACTAAATAGCATCCTTTGACATGAGATAGACCAGCAAAGAACAAAACAAACTAACCCTCACTCATCTGAGATGGTGAGACCAACACAAAATTAAAGTCTTCAGTTTGTTGATGGGAATCATGCTAGCATAAGGAACGTAACTGGGTATTAGTGCATTCCTTACTTGCTGGGTCCAGCACTTCTCCATGATTTTTCCTGCATACACAGTGGTACTGATAACTGATAATTAGGCTGGCAGAAATGGCACAACCCGGCCAACTTAATATATACGTATACGACACATAAAGTAGTGCAAAGTTACTATCTGAATCACACTCAGGTTTCTCGTATCAAATTAGTGTTAAAACATAACTTTTAGTGAACTACCAGTGAGGCTAGATTCTCCAATAGAATTATAATGCTGCTTTACCCTGAATAACATTGATGAGACAAACGGAAACAAAAAATAAAAGGGATGGCATAAAGGAGAAAAGTTAATGTCACTCAACCACGGTTACTTACATGCATAGAGGCCATTGGGTGGAAGACGGCATGAAAAATGTACAAGCATCATTGTTTAAGCAATGTTGCATTATGTTGTTAAATTACAACTAAACATACAAAACACGGAAAACCCACACCAAATCAAAATCAAATTTTACATTACAAATAAAATGTAATGTGTGGAAGATACATTTTAACATTCAATAAAAAGTCACTGAAAATATTACATCCCAAAAGTGTAATCCAATGTATAATAGTGGAAAACCAGGTTGAACTGTCTATGTTCCATCTTGACTTGGTTTGGGGTATAATCACGGCCTTGCTCCTTCCTACCTTTGTGACCTGCTAACTGCCTGGCCTTTCTCACCATTGGCGGTTGGGCCTTCAGCCTTTCTACACCCACCCTTTGGAACTCCTTCCCACATTCCCTTTGCTTCGCTCCCTCCCTTTCCTCCTTCAAGGCAGGTCTCAAGACCCTTCTCTTTGACTGCGCTTTCGGCCACACTCCTCCCTGATTGGGTCCAAATCCCTGACTGTCCAGCGCCTTGGGACGTCCTCCCGATGTGAAAGGTGCTATACAAATATAATTTTGTATTAGAGGAATGTGCAGTCACAAATGCACATACAAACCCAAGACCAACAAGAGAGGGTATAACTGAAGTCTGCAAGTCGTCCCTCAGCGGCAGTTATATTGCTACATATAAAGTTCCTGGTCTCTAGTCTTATTCAGTTGGCAAAATATGCTTTAACAAACAATAGACTATATAATTGAGAAGTCCCTTGGGAATAACTAGTTGGGAAATTGCTGACCGAGGTGAACCTTCAAAATAGGTGCAAATTCAGCTACAGATCAGTAGTCTTCCAGTCCAAGTACTTCTTGAATCTCTCCCTTTACTATCACAATTTGGTTCCCCACAATAAAATGAAATAGTCATTTTGACTAGATTATTCAGTGGAGCTGACCACAATTTTTTTTTCTTTGAATCACTGACAGAAAAGTCCATCCTCATTATCACAGTAGATCAGTTAGCCAGAAGAAAGCAATACCTACAGTAACTTTACTGATAACTCAGGCTACCCTCTCCTGACACCCTTGCCCCCAACACTGGTGAGGGGATTCATATACTGAATGTACAGATCAAAAAGATATAATTTTCTGCAACTGCAAAAAACTCTTATTAGAACTTTATTTCCATAATTGTTACAATTTTCCCGCCTCTCTCCTGAAACCAGAGATTCATATCTATGGCTGGAGCCCATACCAAATGCCAAGCTTAATGGCTAAGGCCAGACACTAAAAGTCAGAAGATGATCACAATCAAACCAGATCCTGTCCTCAGTCAAAATTCACTTATGTCTACATTCCAGCTTGAGTCACTAGGCAATAATTAGAAGCAAGAACTGTGGTTGATTTCTCTCTTCACTAAATCAATGACACTAAAGCTAACTGTAGCACCTGACCTACTGGCTGAGATGAGCTAACTCAGAACAGATTAAACCTGTTGCCTTCTTGATATTTGTTGCTAAGTTCTACCACATTTACTCATTAAGTATTCAGGGAGGGAAGTTTCAAGGATTTAAAACAGCATGTACAACAATACAGTTTGTTTAAATACAGCCTAGTCAGAAGCAAAGTTGTGTAAAATAGGCAGAAATATAAAACTGCAAACAACTTTGATGATAATAAAATTGCAGTGTTACTGTAGCATTAAAAGAAATCTAACCACCAGCAGGAAATGTTATAGCAAAACCATTCAAAATTCTAGATTTTTTGGTCTCTTTTTACAGATTGAATAAAGATCAAAGTTATTTAATCTCAAAATCCATTGATCAATCCTCTTTGACTCATTATTATTGTTTTTGAAAATAATACTTTTTAAAAAAAAAGTGAAGTGTAGGTGTACCAGAGGTTAAAAATGACATTAATTAAGCTACATATTATGTACCTGCGTTGTGCTTGGCCAGGTATTTATCCTTGTACTGTTTCTTCTTCTTTCCAAACCAGGTACAGCTGGCCTGCTGCTCCTGTTTGGTCTTTTCCATTGCTATACATGCCACACGCCTTGTGGTAGGAAGCAAAATAAAACAAGAAATTAGGCAGCTCTGCCAGGCCAAACTTAGATTAAAGATGACAAGTGATTTGGATGTTTAATTCATTGTCCAAAACTTCACAAACCAACCCCCACTCCCCCAAAAAGACACACTCCTCCAAAATGTTATGTTCTACTTTGATCAATGAAAAATTTGAATTTTTTTTACCTTTTTTTTTACCTGCGTATTTTGGAACCAGAAAATGATAGCCAGGTTTTATAATGGGAAAAAATAAATTTGGCAATCTACGTCAGCATAATAGATGAAGGGCAGCATTTAAATTGTTGTGTTATGGGGCACAAATAATATAATAGTCAGAAGACTGGGATGTATGGCTGGAGATGAAACCCATACAAAGTTTCCTTTTATGTTTGGTTAAATCTTTTCTAAATTAACGAGTTGCAGAGAGACAACCCACAGATATTCATTCTAGTAGAATAATGTGGATTTTAACGGAGACAAAAAGTAAAACAAATAAATGGGAAATCGAAGTTAACAGATATAAACTAGGAAGATGTGAAATATATCTGTTTATTCCTTGGGATAACTCTAAAGTAGTTAAGTCAGGTTCATAATGTAATGTATATGCCACTCATCTGGTGTTCTCACATACCATTCCTGGAGTTCTGGAGAGGGGATGAGTCCTGCTGTACCATTTTTAGAGTTTTCCAGCTTGCCCTGCCACCAGTTATGATCATCTTTGCTAATGATCTGTATGATCTCTCCAACCCGGAATCGGATCCCAGCCTCTTTGCAAGGTATAAGGTCATCCTTTGATGGGTCATATTCAAATTGGGCTCGAACGTAAATCTATGAAGCAACAGGATATTTTGAAGAAAAGATGCAGATACTGAACTGCACATCCAGGGAATTAAAGATTATTTAAATAAGGACAGACGGTGTAAAACGACAAACAACAAAAACTCAATAGAGACAAACAAAAATGCAAGAGTAAAGATGAAAACTGCTTAAAAAAAATCACTAATACAAGTTGTTCAATTATTTTACAGAAGCTACCAATTAAAATGTTTAAGGTTCCATAACTATACAGAAAGAATCTGTTAGTTTTAGATTTAGACATATGTGAAGCTTATAATAACTACTGTAACAACTATGCAAAAAGAATAGGTAGATTGGCTACTACTGTACCAGTTAAACTATAGAATCTATAGAGTCTTATGGAGCCAAACTATTCACCTGTCGTCCTTTTGGTTGAGTAGTTGATGGCAAGTCCTGTAGGATAAAGTCAACCCAAGGAAAAGAGATTTTCATTTAACCATCAATGCAAAATTATGACAATTCTACAGCATTTTATGTTTTGCATAGGCCATATTATATATTACTAGAAAAAATTATATAATCATCACACATTAATCATCAGTTTGCATAATCCATCAAGCCATTACTTGAAAAGGTTTAGAGAAAATTAGGCCAGGCTGTTTAGCAACAAGCTGTAAAAAGCAGATACCAGCTGGGAAGACTTATCTACCCCCTTACATTAAGTAGTCTACATCTTCAACACAAATCTATAGAAGACCTGCAATGTCATTGCAATAATTTTGGACATAGTAATTTTTTTTAGCATTTTAACTGTGGGCAAGTCCAATTACATACTTTTGTTTATTATTATTATTATTTATCTGTGAATATGCTTTGTGGACTTAAACTGTGTCTGATGAAAGCTAGGCTCTGAGTACAGATAGAACACTGTTTTTGCAGGACTTTGCTGCCATGTCTGTTTAGTTATAGGAATCAGAGCTATTGTATCAAGATAAAGTTTATTTTATATAAGTACCCTATCTCCCCATTTGCAAAGTATTTGTCTGTCTAACGTCACAATTGAAGTATGTGGGTGAATAAGCTGTTCTCATGTCTCTGGCAATCCTGAACCGGTTGAAAGGAAATTGAAAGGGAATGGTCAATTTGCTCTTCAATTTTGTTCTCCCTTTCACAAAAAGAATACTCACTTCCACTCAACACTCACCCATCCCCCCAATGAAGCAAGACTAAAAAAAAGACCTTCTCCAATTGAAAAATAAATTCAATCATTTTTTAAAATCTTCACAATTGTAAAATGTTAAGGCAATGGTTTTAAGGCTAAGGCCATGAAGTATTTCAGGTCCCTGAGAGAACCTGAATTGTATCCTGTGCATCAAGTGGTGATTCGCAGCAATTTTGGCAGTAATTCACCAGCAATGTGAATCTGAGTCTGGGAGTTAGAAAGGGGTAATCATACCTGAGTACCACACCTGAAGCCACCAGGAAGGGTTTATTTCAGGAGTGATGTAATTCACATCCACACAATAGTAAACTTGGAATGGAGCATTTTTTAATGTTACGAAAGAAGTGGTTGCGTGACACAGTTTTTAATCACAATAAAAAGCAATAGACAGATTTTGGTGTCAAGGTGCTTGTGCACAGAACACTAAAATTGAGCGATTGCTTTTTTTCTGGTCCTATTTCAATGTGTTGTGATCTGGGCTAGCGTAAACTCGACTTCATGTCTACATCATTATACTGCTGACAAGAAAGTTCACGACAGTAATAACTCAGCATAAAATGGAGATTTTAAAAATAGAATTTCCATGTCTCTTAAGATGTTCAACAACCATTATTGGCCATTATAATGGATGACAAGAATATTTGAATAAATGTTTGAAGCAAGTAAACAACTATATTCTGAGAAATTGTTCAAACATTATAGTTTTGTGTCTGGACACCTTGCAGGACAATTTAGACTTTCTCCTCCATTTTCTATGAAGCAAAATAAATAAATGCTAAAAAGCATTCTGTAGTAAAGTGTCGTTTTGTATGATTGAGTTTTTATTAAGAAAGCTTGATGCTGGTCAGGACTGTGTTGAAGATGTACTAGCAATTCCCATAGTTTTTATTACAAATACACATCAAATGATCTGTAGCTTTGAGCTGCTAGGCCAGGCTTCAGCTTCACACTGTAATGTGCATGAACCACAGCAGCAGTGGGCACACCAATTTGAGAACTCAGATAGCGGAAACCAAACCATACTTTCAGAGCTCTCGTGTGAACCATGCATTTGAAGATCTCAAAGTGTTGCTGGGTCAAAGTTTAAGTGGGTACAATGACTAGGACATTATTTACTTTTCTTCTATCATTCTACTGCCCTCCAGTTTATTTTCCGTCTTATAAACATTGTGCTCAGTGGAAAGGAGTATTTTCAGTACTTGGTCATACGTATGCATTTACAAGTAAGATGTAATGCAAACCAAAATTAGGAAACCACAGTTAAAAGCTGGTCTCAATGAATTATCACCAGGACATGAATAATGACATTGCCAATCGCTGCTTTGGCTTGGTTACAAAATAAACCTTGACAGGACTTCTCCATAGGACAAATTCCTTTAGGTACAGAGAAAATGGTCAACACTAACAAAATTACACCACTGGCAAAATAACTTTGGATTTGCGCTATAAATGGAAGCCTTACCGAAACAGAATTATTAGTGCTGCTATGGCCGTTAGCAGGGGACTGTCTGGATGTGGAAGGGGAATCTCTCTGCAATGAGACAAAAGGTTCAATAGCTGTAGAACAGTAGCACCTCAAACACACAACTGCAAATATACCAGTCAGAATGTCACACATGGTCCTAAAGGATTTATGCATTGGTTAAGGTCCAATATATATTTTTTTCTGAACAGGTATTACTTGCTCAGGTTTATCAATGATAACTGCCATATGATGAAACAAAGCGTTTGTTCTCAAGAGATTTCATCAAAAACATGCCTTGAAGTGAACAGCTGTCTAGTTTATTCATGACATATATAATCATTCTGGTATTAAGCTAAGAGGTTTCTATCTAAAAGCTTGTTTACATAAAGTATTTAAATAGGGATTAGAAATTGCAATTTTCCACAAGCAATTTGGTTATGTGAAAAAGTTATAAGTGCAACAACCTATTTATTCTAATTACTGTATTGATTAGTCATGAAGAGTAATGTAGACTAGAAATCCTCAAGGGGTTGTGGCTGCATTGGTTTGTAAAATGATAGCAACAGAATGTTGTTTCGCTCACAAAAATACAGTTAATTCACTTTACGGTATATTCTGTGAAGCGCTTTGAGATGTCTAGAAGACGTGCAAAGATGATTGTTATTTATATTCTGAAACTAAATACTCAGGGTTTGCTCAGTACTGCAGTACTAATTTGCTACCACTGGAGGTGGCTTGCAAACTATTGCATGTAAATGTTTGAGCACTCTGAATGCTGAATAATGTTGCTATACATTCTCTGCTGGGTTCCTCAGTCCTTGTTATCTTCCTGACAAATCATGCCTCTATTTAATACTGTAAGTTACTTTTATATTTGCTTCAGGTATAACATTTACTGTCAATCTTATAAAAAAGGTGCCATGTCTGAAAGGCTAAGTAGGTATAGCTAAAAGCCTCATTGCTTCAACTGTATCAATTTTGGACAATAAATCCAGTTTTAACTCATCATGTTAACTGAATACTTTGAAGAACAGAATTTTTATCTTTAGATCAATTAAGTCCCATCAATCAAATGACTAATTATTATGCCTTGAAGCAGTAAATGGAAGATGATATCATGACTCCATTTGGGAAATTATGTAATAAGCTTGAAAAGGTACCATCTATAGGAAATCTGAGAGGGATTCTTTGTTAGGTCATTTCAAAGGAGAGGTGCCAAGGCATAAACATTTACTGAATAATAGCAAGATTAGAGCCTCTAAAGCCACAAACACTCTGCAGTAATTGTTCCAGACACAGAATTGCTACAGATCATGTTGTGAAGCCCAACTGCTAAAAAGAAGCACTCAATGAGATATCTTGCATGAAAGCTGCAAAGTAATTTAACATTACTTGATGTTGAACAGATGTTTCTAGTTGAGCATTGCAGTACATCCCTTGTTAAATTGCTACAATGACTGCCTGTCCGACATCAAGTCCTGGACGAGGGACAACTTTCCCAGCTGAACGTCACCAAGACCGAGGCCCTCCCGATTGGCTTGCGCCAGTGCCTCCGCACCTCAGGCGCTGGCAGCATCAGCCTCCACAGCTGCACACTCAACCTCACTAAGCCAGTCAGGAATCTGGGTGTCTTGTTTGACCCTGAACCGTCCTTTCTCCCCCACATCCGCATCATGATCGGCACTGCCTACCACCACCACCGCAACATTGCCAGACTCCGCCACTGCCTCACCCCTCAGGCTGCCAAAACCATCACCCACGCATTCGTCACCTCAAGGCTCGTTTATGGAAATTCCCTCCTCATCGGCCTTCCCAACTCTTCCCTTCACAAGTTGCAGATCATCCAAAACTCTGCAGCTTGTGTACTCTCACGCACCAGGCTCCGTGACCCCATCACTCTCACCCTCGCTCCTCATCCCTCAGAGGATCGAATTCAAGATCCTTGTTCTCACTTTCAAGGCCATCCATGGCCTTGCCCCCTCCCACCTCTCTGACCTGCTGACTCCCTACCAACCTGCCCCCTCCCTCCATTCAGTGGGCTCCGGCCTGCTCCATGTCCCCCACCCCACCCGCCCTATCAGCGGTGGCTGAGCTTTTAGCCTCTCTGCCCCCACACTCTGGAACTCCACCTGACAGTCCCTTTGCCTCGCTTCCTCTCTTGGCTCCTTCAAGGTCGTTCTCATGACCCTCCTCTTCGATCGTGCCTTCAGGCAACCTCCCACCTCTCTGCCTTCGCTCACCCCTACCCCACCCCTCCCCCATGCTTGGGTCCTGACCCTCGACTGTCCAGTGCCTTGGGACGTCCTACCGACGTGAAAGGCGCTCTATAAAGGTGATTTTGTTGTTGTTGTTGTTACCAAAAAGAACTTGAAAAAAGCATATCCCTCCGCTTCCATGGCATGATACAAACAAACAAACAGGGGAGGAGAAGATGAGATCTACTCATCTGTTCCGTTATCTTTGTTGTAAAATTGGTGTGCATGATGGACAGTACAAGCAGAACCAATCCTCACAGAAAGCTTGAGCAATCAGCAGGCAGTTAAGCTATAGAGATAAGGGGAAGGGAAAAGGACAGCTGTTCTCTAAATTTGTTACCTCACAGGAAGAAGACTGAGTGCGATAACTTGGCACAATCTTGAAGGTGATGCTTCCTCGCATTTCCCTCTGCAGAGAGAAAAAGGAAAGTGAATATTCATTAAGTTTGGATAAGAAATGGTTTGTGTTCATCTATTTGTTTGCACTATCACTACCTAACCAGGAAATATAAGTACAATATGAGAGAAACACAGCAGCTTTGTTGTGCTATTCTACAATGGAGCTTCACATTTTTGGCAAGTATATGTACTGACACACACACAATGCAATGCTGTATTGATATAAGGCTGTTGCAAAATTGCTGCAATTAAAAGTGGCTCTGTAATTCAATGTCCTATCAGTTCTGTCAAATTTGCCACTTTACTGCATATGTCGGAAATCAGATCATTTCAAAATCATGTTTCTGACTTTCATTTTCTGGCCTTTTTGTCTTTCCTGATCTTTAGAAAAAATCTGACTGGCTGGTGAAAGAAAAAACGCATCCTTTGCCTATACAGATTACACATGGGCCGTGAGCTCTATACCGAACACAGGTTCACATCCGAAATACATCCTATGACATTCCTGCCTGGTGCAATCACAGGATGAAGGAAAAGCTGACACAAGGCACTATTGGCCACTTTCACAACCCTGTTGAAATTGCTCAAGACCAGGTCTGGCAGAGGTCTGGGAGCAGGATATCTGACGGCCAGCATTTCCGTTCTGGCTGGAGTATGGTGTGTGACTCAGATATAGAGGAAACATAAAATAGAGGGAAAACAACAAAAAGCATACTTCAGATAAAATTTAGCTGTGCTACACTACTTACAAGAATATTGCTCTTTTAATGTTTTAAAATATAAAACATAACTGTTTACCAGTGTAAATAATAAAAAATGTGCAGAATGTTTACGAAGAAAGGTTTATTTCTTTAAAAACATCTGGACTAGATTTTCAAGTCAGGGAACCGAATCAGTAGTAAATCTGCCAACACCCACATTTCTCTTTCAAGCTTTGTGGTTGTAAAACTTAAAACATTTTCTAAATTAACTTTCCACACTGCAGCAGCTACTTTACTTAGCAGTGCCTCTGTCAGCAGGGAGCAATTGGTGGCTACAGTGTTAAACTCACCTTGATCCTTTTTCAATTATTTTTGCTTTTACATTAAACACAGCCTACTCTCAGGAAGCACGCCTGCAAATAACTATTCTAGCTGCAGTGCAGCTATAAAGAAGCATCCAGAAAGCAAGAAACAATTACTCCGGTGTAGAGTGGTGGAGAGCAATTCCTTTGTGCACCATTTCAATGAGTAACAACTGAATAGGTTGAAGAGGGAATTAAATGCATTTCTGGAAAAATACGAACCCATAAATCAAACTAGTAATAAATGAGTAGTAAATCAATTTCAAAATACAAACCATTACAGTTTCTGTGAACCAAACAATTTTGCAGATGTGGTGAAAACGCCCGCTAGACTCCTAGCACGCGCAAATGTGGACTCCAGGCTAGTGGTTGACAGCAGGTGGTTGCTGAATAGTTGCAATAGCTTGCTTTAATAGGTTTGACTGTACTTTCTGTATCGTGATGAACTAACGTATTGAGGGAAATATCAGATTGCGCATCAGTACAAAAGATTTGCTCTCCACCTACTAGCTCCTCAGTTGTGCCTCTGCATTGAGCAGGAAAAAGTCAGAAATCTGCTAGTACTGTAGCTTGTTTTTATTACTGCTGCTAGGTGGTAAATCACAGAACCACTGGCAGTAAAATTCCCAGTTACTGCCCAATGTATCACTCCTTCAAAGGTATTGCAGTCCAAAGGCAGAGCACAACAACGATAATTATTTTTCTGCATAGTTCAGAAGCTCAAACTATTGAAGTTGTGCAGTGCTTTTGTGGTTCTGACCAATTCATGAACCTCTTCATGTAGTTCAAAGGAGAAAATGAGACTAATTTGCAGTATAAACATGCACGCATTGGAAAGCAACAAAAAATGATGTTGGTCTGCTAAGCTTTATATAGGTACAACATAAGTGAAATGTGGTATATCCAGATCAGAGGCTTTTCAAGACGTGCTCCGGGATATAATTGGAAAAATCAACTATATGCAACTTAAAAATTAAAACATTTAAAAACATAAGAATACAATTAACTCCATTTGCATGCCATCTCACATAATCCTTAATCACTTCTCTCCAGAAATGCATTTAATTCCCTCTTCATCCTATTGAATTGTTACACATTGAAATGTTGAGCATTTCAGTGGGTAACAATTGTAAAAAATATATCATCCTATGCAAACATCGATTAGGTAACTTCAAAGTCCCTCCTTTCCAATCTAACCACTTATTTCCTCATATTTTAAATTCCTGATACCTAGAATTACTTCATTAATGATGTGGAAATGCCAAATGGCAAATTGCTGGGATACAGAGGGCTTTCAACCAGTGGCTGGTTTACTTTGCAGTATTTCCAAGCCCCCCAGTTCATATGTCTTCTATGGCAGCATTAGATCAAGGTGCAAAATTCAGGGTTGTTTGCAGTGCAGATCATAATTCTAGAAGATGCTGAATTAAACTGGGTATTTTCTAGACAATGCAAAAGGTGGTCTGAGGGCTCAGGTCTCACTACCTCACTAAAGAGAAAAAACAAGATTCAGTTCTACAGTGGCTATATACACTAGTCAGTGTGACATTGAGCCATACAGAGAAAGGTTTACATTCAATTCCTATTCTATGCTGAGTTTTCTTAGCTGGGTATCTTAGCAGGACTTAAAGGGTTAAATTATGAGGACAGGTTGCATAAACTTGGTCTCTATTCCCTTGAGTTTAGAAGGTTGAGGGGTGATCTAATTGAGGTTTTTAAAATAATAAACCGATTTGAAAGGGTAGATACAGATAAACTATTTCCTCTGGTGGGCTATCCAGAACAAGGGGGCATAATCTTAAAATTAGATCTGGGCCATATAGGAGGCAGTTTTTCACCAAAAGGGTAGTGGAAATCTGGAACTCTCTCCCCCAAAAGATTGTGGATGCTGGATCCATTCAAATTTTCAAGACTGAGATGAATAGATATTTGTTAGGTCAGGGTATTAAGGGATATCGGGCAAGGGCAAGTAATTGGAGTTGAGGTACAGATCAGCCATGATCTTATAGAATGGCAGAGTAGGCTCGAGGGGCTTTATGGCCTACTCCTGTTCCTATGTTTCTGTGGTGGGGGGCAACATTACATTGTTCCTGAACTAGGCAATGGGAAAGAGGAAAATAAAACAGCAAAGGTCCTATTCTTGATCCCAATTTATAAATTCCTGTTAAAAGCACACCTTGCATATGTTAAGTAAGGTTGGGATTGGGCTCAGTAGTCATGTTCCTATGGTTGAATTGTTTACTGATACTCCACATCTAAATTCACAAAAGTACCTGGGACTCCCATTATTCCTAACATACATAGCAATATAACTCATGAATCAATACCTTCAGGAGAGGAGGCTAGATAATTGGGGAAGGGTTGAGCAAAAGGAAAAATATGCAAATACACATCCTCACTAAATCAGATCCAGGAGGACATCTCAAAAGATTTAATCTCAGATAGGCATTTTTCACTGGTGAGGTTTATTTGGTGAAAATTCTACAAGATTATTTTGGCATTTATTCTCTGTAGTCGATGTTATGTTCTTATGAAATGCACAACACCAGTCTTTCTATTTCAGAAGCTACAAGCAAAAAATATTCAATGGTGAACTTTATCGGTGTTTAGCAATATTTCTGTTGCTTAATTAATTCAAGTTTTATATTGTAAGGGATTGATTTGTGGAAGTCTGCAAAAATAAGGGCCACAAAGGTTGATTTTGATTCATTTCTAGAGCCTTTTTGTTATATATTCTCAAGACTACACAGAGCTATTGTCATCTCGTGCTGCTGGGATGATGGTATGTGTGTTAGAGGGATCAGAAACAAACATCTACTCAGTTTATTGGGAGAGGGGAGAGATTTCCCACTTTTAAGAGTATCTTGCCTCAACAGCAAGAGAGTCCTGAGAATGAGACCAAGGGTAAGAAGAATGAACTATGAAGAACAGCTATACAGGCTTCTTTTCAAGCCTTGTTAGCTTTGAAAAGAAACCCATTTATTATTTTATTATTATTAACCTTATGGGGGTCCAGAAGATACCTAATCGATAAGAGAAACTTAACCTGAAAAGAGTTCAGATATAGAAAGGTTCAGCGTTTTGAAGAGTCAATTTAGGTCAGGCACCAGTAAATGTTTCATGACACAAAGGATCATCGACATCTGGAATGGATTACCGAGAAAGTTGGTTAAAAGGCAAAACACTGGAATTATGTAAGAAATGTCTCAATATGACAATAAGAAGGCATCTTAAAGGTAAGGCGATATTCTGAAAGGATGAGATTAAATAGTCCAATTTATTTTCTTAATCAGAAAATATATCACATTCATTAACAAATAACATTTGTTCTAAATCTCTACAACAATGTGCCTTTACAAAGGTAGCTTCCACTGAACGAGGTATGATATTTGACTTTACCACCTAGCATTTATTGGAGCTTATCTGAAACAGAATGTCAAATTAGTAACAATTTGTGTTAGACTTTGAATAGTTTTGTGTTGTGGGCCTGCTTGAACTAAGATCTGGGTTTTGAATGGTCAAAACTCATTTCACATTGGTGAAATGCCAAGCAGAACACAAAGGATAAATATACACTACTGTTTGGGTGGATTCAAACCTAGGTTCTGGAGGCAAAACCAAGTGTATCATAGTCCTCCCACTTCATCATTTTTACTTCATCAGATAACTAATTTTGTAGCACTATATACTATATACTCACAAGCATCTTTTGAAGCTGCTCCACTGTCTGGTTGGCTACGCTGATGCCATTTATTTCTCTGATTTCATCGCCAACATGGAGTGTTCCTGCAGATAGATGAAAAGAGAATTAGAAACAGAATATTTACATTAATCCATACAAAGTCTATAGGCTACGACTTAACGTAAGTGTTTATGGTATCAAATTTTCTGCCTCTTAAACAAATCTCATTATGCTAAACATTTTGAGCTCATTGGGAAATGGCATTATTGATCTCTGAAGACAGTTAATTACTGAAAGTGATGGCCATCAAAACTACATTTTTGTTGAAAAAGTTACATAAGAAAGTGATATAATGTGTTATTTTCACATTTTCACTTTTTAGTTCCAACTGAGTTTTTCTTTAAAATTAATTTATATTATTTTATCTTCTAAGATTTCCACATTTGAACTATTTCTCTTTGACCGAGCCTTCAGCTCCCCTCCTCGCTCCCTCCCTTCCCTCCCCTCACCCTGACCATTTCCCCCCTCCTCGCTCCCTCCCTTCCCTCCCCCTGACCATTTCCCCCCTCCTCGCTCCCTCCCTTCCCCCCCCTTACCATTTCCCCCCTCCTCGCTCCCTCCCCTCACCCTGACCATTTCCCCCCTGCTCGGGTCCTGACCCAACTGTGCAGCGCCTTGGGACGTCCTCCTGACGTGAAAGGCGCTTTATAAATGGAATCTTGTTGTTGTTGTTGTATTTCTATTTTCATTCTTCAGAGGTGATTATTTCATTTTTTTTCGCATTGTTTTGATAAAAGTGTATTATTGTTTTAAAATGTATATGAATTATTACACTGTCCATTTAAGGTTTGCATTCTAACTGTAATATAGTGAAATTAAGCAGTACAATTTAAAACAGAAGATTTCTATATGATTCTTATGGGTTTTGTTTCTGGAAGGGAAACACAAAGATATTGCTTATGCGGCTCACGGGCATTTCTCAAATCCGGCATCTCAGCAACCAAAAGGTTGGATCATCCTGGCCTAGACTATTGTTTCAATAAGATTTGGTTGGAAAGGTAACATCAGAGTCAAATGTGCAAGTTGGGTTAACAATCCATGTACACAATTTGTAGGTTGGGTTAACCAGGTGCAATCCATGTGTTTAAAGGTAATTATGCAATAAACCAATGTAAACGATAACAGAATCACAATCGCCTATAACTTTTTTCATTAGTTGTTGATTGCTAACTAAAAGACATCTCTATTAATTTACATATGGTTAACTCCACTCACAAATGTTGCCCATAACTTCCTAACCATACTCACAAATTAGACTCCATCATAGAGGGATGCAATAGTATTTATGTTGAAATAGTGGGGTAATCCTGCTACTTTATAAATCACTGTGCGACTGCACTTGTAATACTGTGTGCAGTTTTGGTCACTGCAACATAAAAAGGTGTTGCAGCGATTGAGAGGATTCAGAGGAGGGCAACCAAAATGATTGAGGGGATGGATGGACTGGACTACGAGGAGCGATTAGATAAACTGGGCATGTTCACACTGCAGAAGAGAAGGTTGAGGGGTGATATGATTACGGTCTTTAAGATTCTGAAGGGAATAGATAACGTAGACCATGATAAGCTGTTTTATCTTGTACGGAACAGTAGAACCAGAGGACATGGCCTGCGATTGAAGGGGGATACAGAACATATCTGCGGAAACACTACTTCAGTGAGCGAGTAGTATAGTTATGGAATAGGCTCCCTAGGGAGACAGTGGAAGCAGAAAATGTTGTTTGTTACAAGAACAAATTAGGTAAGATTTCTGCTAGAAAATAATACCTCACGATATAGTATATAGAGTGGGATGCGACATGTTGAGCGGTTACCAGGATGGTGGAAGGCGAACTAGATGGACTTTGGTCTTCTTTCACCTAGCAAATTCTTATGTTCCTATTTACAATTGCATGTGACTATTTGTCATATGTAATCAGAAACAAAACTGTAAGTAGAGCAATTTTCAACAATTTGTTGTGTTCAGTATCCTATTTAGCCAAAATTACTGTTCTTGGCTTTGTAACTACTTCATAATGAATTCTCAACTTACCTTGTCTATGAATCATTCCACCATGCATTATCCTTGCAACAATACAGTGGTTCAACTCATTCATTTTTAAAGTGATTCCCTGGATAAAAGAGTTAAAATTAAGAAGAAAGCAAAAAATAACAATGTTTATAAATGTATTAATTTGAAAATATTCTATGAAACATTTTACACTGACACAAAATGTTTCCTATATATAATAAAGAAACAGCATTTTTTCCTATTTGTACACTAAATCCATTCTCTTTAGGTTTCTCTATGCTGTTCTGCAAACAGCCACTAGAAGGTGTGCAAGAGCAATTTGAGAAGAAGTGCCCTTTAATTTTTCTGTCTGTATGTGGTTCCTACTTAGCACAGCTGAAAGTAGAAAGTCAATGGCAGATTACAAAGCCTTTGCTCCAACACCCCAGGCCACCATCTGCTTAGAAACTGAAGAACACTGCACTCGATGGTACTCCTAAATAAGGGCCAGTTGTTAAGATAAAATATTTGTAACATCTGACAAGTCATGCACTATTGGAATGCAGCACAAGGCACTACAGACATGATACTCTAAAATAACAATCAAAAAACAAATGCAAGGATAATTATACTCCTAGTAAACAGTTGGAGAATAAGCAGTCCTCACCTACACAGAACTGCATTTGTGTTCCAAAAAGTCACCATGCACTGGAAATATATTTTACTGGAAGTCATTGAGATCTGTAAAACTGTAAAAATGAGCAGTTCTACCATGCTACAAGAGAAGCAATGACATTTTAATGAAAAAAACAGGAAAATCTATAACCTCTTTAAAAAAAATCAATTTGGAAATTAAATTGGGTAGCATAATATCATTCTAAAATATCCAAAGTATGGTTTTAAAAAATTCAAAGGTCTTTAACATTTTGAATATATTTAAGCTTATAAGGATTGCAGATAACCTTGGAGTTTTGCAGGTACATTTTTTGTGAAGTGGTGCATTACAAGACAGAAGAGTGTATTCCTTCATATTCATTAATCTGATAAGAATCTGGCATAAAAGTAGGTTTAAACATGATAGAGATTCTTAATAACAGCATTTGATTTAGTGCCTAATGTAACTGAAACATGTCAAAGTGTTTCACAGGGTTTACCGTAAAGTGTAGTGAAATGTCCCAAATACAGCCATGGAGTGAATGACCAATTTTATTTGGGGGATTGTTGGAAAGGACACAGAGAGAAACTCCCTTCTCTTTTTGACTAGTGCCATTGGATCTTTAATGTACACCTAAAGAGGCAGATGGAATAGGCAAAAAACATCACTTTGACAATGCAGTACTCTCTCAGCACAGGACTGGAGTGTTGATTAAGCTCTGGAGCTAAAAGTCCCAACATGTGGCTTGAACCCACAACCTTCTGACTCAGGTGAGAGTGCTATCAACTGAGCCAGGCTGACGCACACTTTTACATATAGTGGAATCCATCCAATTTCAGTTCTTAAGATCAGCCCGTCTCTCTCCCTCTCCACCACCACCAATGCTGTATTTTATTTCCTCCTCTTAGCTTTTTGCAAATATTGTTTTTATAGTGGACTAATCTGTCCCAACAGGTCCAGTCTTTCAAGTATAGGAGAGGTGCTGGTCACCCGGACCACATCATTTGGACCCGATAGGAACCTTTTCAGTTGTTCTAAACTATTGAAAAACAATATTTTCCTAATATGAAGAGTTGTTGTTTGTCAAACTTACTCTATTTTTTTCCAATCAACTTCATAATGAAAAGGAAGAAAAGGTATGTATTAAATTAGAACCATCAGCTCACGATCAGATACAATTCTGGGGTCAGTTGGCCAGAGCTACTGGAATCAGAAACTGCATGGGACCCACCTGGATTTCTGAATATTGTGTTGACATGAAATGGTTAACTTCATACCTTAGTTTGCATCCAAAAAGGCACTGATTCCTTGTTTGTATGTATGTCAAAACTCAAATAGTGGTATAGGTGCATAACATACTTACGTTGCAATTAAATAATAACTTAAAATCTAGACACTTTCTAGCAAATTTCTTCAAGAATTTCCTTTCAAACCAGCTGGCAGCATAGACTTTAGCTACATCTTTGCTGCCATTTTCTTTTATTGCAAAGATTCATGCACATTTCTCAGATGCTGAGAATGTTTCCGTAAAGCCCTGGGAATCTGGTGTTAAACTGCATTGACTTTACCAATTTTTTTTATATAGTTCAACAGCATCCAATTCCAAGGTTGGTTATAAATACATGGCTTCCCATCAAAATTTGAAGCTATCCATTTATTGTTGTACATTTAAAATGTTATGTTTGCTGAGAGATTGCCATTATTTCCCATGTCTTTAAAACAATTAAGTTTGGTAGAAATAACACTAATAAAAAATGATCTCTTTATTGGCCACAGTTCTCCTCTAGTTTTGCCATTCCCACTTTTAAAAATACTATTAGGACCTGATATTTTCACAGACTATAAATTTCCCTCTCCCATGAGATGATCTTGAATTATAATTGTTCTATGCAGCCTATATAATTTTGTTGTTGTATTAGCTGTGAACATAGCCTTCTACATCAGTTTAAAATGTTTCAACGTCTTCACTGATGGCTTTGTGGATAAAGTCATTAAAGCCAAGTATTTGGGATTCTCTTCTTAGCTTTGTCAAATATCAGTAATTCTTTTCAATATACAAATTTGCCTGAGACTCAATCTTGCAAATGCTGGAGAGGTACTGGCCATTTGAAACATCAGATAGATTCGCTTTCATTACATCCAGGCTTGACTCTGCAAACTCCTTGCTTGTCGGCCTACCCAACTCCTCCCTCCATAGGCTGCAGATCATCCAGAACTCTGCAGCCCATGTCCTCTCCTGCACCAGGCTCCGTGACCCTACCCTCGCCCAACTCCACTGGCTTCTCATCACACAGAGGATACAGTTCAAGATCCTGGTCCTCACCTTCAAAGCCCTCCATGGTCTTGCTCCCCCCTACCTCTGCGACCTCCTAATCCCCTACCATCCTGCTCCCTCCCTCCCACCCCTCAGCGGGCTACGGCCTGCTTCACGTCCCCGTCTTGCTCGCCCCACTATTGCCGGGCGGGCCTTCTGCCACTCTGCCCCCACTATCGGGAACTCCATCCTGCAGTCCCTCCACCTCGCCCCCTCCCTTTCCTCCTTCAAGACCCATCTCAAGACTCTCCTCTCAACTGTGCTTTCGATCACCCTGCTTCTTCCCCCCCCACCCACCCTCCTCCCTCCCCGATCCCAACCCCCAGCTTGGGTCTGAAACTTTGACTGTCCAGCGCCTTGGGACGTCCTCCCGATGTGAAAGGCGCTATATAAATGTAATTTTGTTGTTGCTGTTGTGGATAGCCACATGTGTCAAGGGGCCTTTCAGCATTGATTAAACAAACACAGTTTATAGTACATGTGCTATATTCTTCAATGCTGCCATCTTCTCACATTTCTTGCTTTCCCCTTATCTTTTAATACAAATTTCTTCAAGAATTTACCAAATTCGTTTTTTTTCCTCTTGATATAGACTTACCTTGAACAGACATTTTGTGTAAATATATTTTTATTGCACTGACACAAATAAGGAATGAGAAAAACCACTCAAGTATTTATCTTTGATAAACCATATAGAATCTTATCCTAACAAAAACTCATTCATCTCCTGAGTTCAAGTTCAAAAGAGTTAAGTCCTGCCTCTATATCTGAAAATAGTACAAAGGAAACTTTTTTGCACAGTAATCTAACTAAAATTCCATCTTATTTATCACAGTGAAAATATGCTTACAATAGCTGATAACATAAATGCATACATGAAGGTAATAAAGGTGGCTAATTTGCCACTGAGAATATCGTGGTCAACAAAAGTGGAATTGGTCCTTGCATTTACACACACTGTCTATTTTATGCAGGTGTTGAGTAATCTTCATAAGTGAATACTTCAGATGTTTATGTAATCAAAAAGTATGGATTACAGGATAGAGCTAGTAGCGACCAATTGCATTGAAAGAGTTCACAGCTTGGAACGTTTATTACTAGGAACAAAGGAAAAAACAGGGCCAATCCATTTGCAATGTTGCTGCCTTGTCAAGTTATATTAAGTTATAACATGGCCTCTGCCATTACACTGCATGTTTTAGTCAATTAGACCTTCATGTATAAAACTGGTTAAACTGGCAGTTGTATTACAAGAAGATATTTGGTGTATATAAACCTCTACTGTACATACCATAGGTTCATCTGTGTTTTTTTGGAACTGCACCAGTCGAACCCGTGTTACATTTTCCATATCCATGTCTCCGTTTGCGCTTTCTGGTGAATCGCCGTTTAGATAAGGAGAGGTTGGTGGAGGTGTAACTCTCAGTGCTTCATCACTGTAAACCTCATGTGCCACAACGTCATGGGTCTGCAGTAAGGCCTAGATTTTAAAAGTAAGATAATATTTTAAAAATTAAACAGAGGGAAGAAAATGTTGCTCTCCCTTGTACTTGCACCTAATTTGTCCATTCCTGAAGGTGGTGATTCAGGCCGATGGAAGGTTGAAAAGTGCTGGTCACCCTCCATTATTACACTTTATTTTTCATGTCTGAGTCACGGTAATCGCAGGAGTTTGGATCATGAAAGCATCGCAATGGAACCCGATCCTGTTCTGACGAAGGGTTGTGGACCCGAAAGGTTGACTCACTTTAATTTCTACATAGATGCTGCCTGACCTGCTGAGTATTCCCAGTGACTTCTGTTTTTGTTTTCTGATTCAATATAATGTTGTTATAAATAGATTTGCTTTTGCACAATTGGGTGTGGGCACCAACATTTACTTTCACATAAAATTTTGCCTATGAAATACACAATTACAACACTTTACAGGATATTCTGTGAAGTTCTTTGAGACATGTGTGCTGGCTTCATCAGCTAGTATTCGGGAAGCCAAAATGGCCAACATTTGGTCACCGCCTACTATTTAGGGTGCAGGATGTGGTGTTAGCAACACGGAAGCTTTAAGGCTCTTCTTCCTCAATCTAGAAGTTCGTTTTTGCTCATAGTGATCATTCTTCATTTACTTCTTCAAACATAAAAGGAACAGCTCAAGATGAAGACTGACTGGTTCATCAGATACAGCGAGAATAAGCAAGTAGGTAAGCTTGATAATACACCATTTTTCTCTTTGACCGTGCCTTCAGCTCCCCTCTCGACTCTCTACCCCTTCCTCGCTCCCTCCCTTCCCTCCCCTCACCCTGACCATTTCCCCCCAGCTCGGGTCCTGACCCAACTGTACAGCGCCTTGGGACGTCCTCCCGACGTGAAAGGCGCTCTATAAATGGAATCTTGTTGTTGTTGTTGATGAAAACCTGCATTATCTGTTACCAGAAGTACTACCAATCCGCACAAAAATATTCCACCAGGTTTTCAAGTCCTAATACATTCATTTAGGCCAAATATATTACTGTCTTTTGTTCCTTGGGAAAGGGTGGAATTCCTAACAGAGTTGCTTGTACAAGAGCAGTAAAGACTGACAGAGGATTCTCGCTTGAGACTCACACCAATTCCACCATGGTATGGTTGCTCACCAAATATTTTCCAGAGCTCCTAAGTGCTGGCATCACAAAGGATCTTTTTGAAAGAGCTGCCCTTTCATCACATTCAAAAGCTGTTGCCCTTCCCCCACTATTTTACACTCCACTGATAAACCCAGCTCACACATTGGAATGAGCATTACATCAGCAGGCAGCAACCAGTCACCAGTAATTTCAATTTCAAGGCAGCACAACTATTGCTTGCTTCCGATGTAAAGCTCCAAAAATCTTATCAGGCAAAATGTTAGTTGATTGAAATCAACTGTCTCAAATCATGTCATTTAGTTATAATAGGATAAACGATGCATGAACGAGAGAGAATTCTATCCCTATCAGAAGTGATACAATTTGGATCCACCAAATATAAATGTGACGACGAGCACCAGGAACACTCTCCCTCCCCCTTTATTTCTGCTTTTAAAGTTCAAAGTTCTAGACCCGTCCATTGGTCCACAAACTTTGAATAGATCATTGCTGAATGTTATTAAAGAGCTGATTGCACAATCAACTCTTCAACAATGCTGAAAAACATACAATTTTGGTGTTCTGTGTATATGTCAAAGTGTGTACATGCAGAACAACAATAATAATAATTTGCATTTCTAGCACTTTTCAAGTCAGGACGACATCGCGAACCACTGGATAATGAGGGGTTTGCCAAAATCGTGAATGTTTTTTTCCCCGCAGTCTGATTCAACGTGATGGGAAGCGGGCAGTGTAAACCTGGCTACCTGCTCTTTGTCTCCATACTGCTGGAAGTTTCCAATCAATATAATTGCAGCAGAAAGATTTAGTTTTGAAGCACTATAATATTAGGAGTTTGGAATGCAATTATGAGGCATGTGACATGTGGTCTTTATCTTGATTAAATGCAAGCGTGGATGGGTGGTGCAAGGGGAGATTGTGAAAGAAAAGCAGGATTGTTTTATGTAGATTAAAAATGAGATGTTCATCCAGTTGCAGCCCATCATTCTGTGTAAATGAATATGCACTTGCATCTGTTAACTTGGAATGGGATGAAGTAGTTGAATAGTAGTCTATTGAAGATAGAACTGATGTCTTATCTATTAAATGTAAGCATTATAACAACAGCATTAGCTGATGCATTTACCATAAAATGAGGCTGTGTTAGGATGCACTTCAGTTCCTTTGCATCATTGTTTTCTGGATAACATGAAATCTCTTCCAGTACCTGAAACATATAATAAAAAAAGACCTTAGCAATTTGAAATTATTTATCAGGTGAGAATCTTTTCTTGCCCCTAAGGCTTTGACACGCTTTTCTGGAATTTTCCCATTATAAATACATATTATCAAAGTCATTACATATGATGGTAAAAAAAATTCACATTGTGTATTTGCAAAACCAAGAGATACCACTTTTTTGTTGTGCAAATCAGTTTAAAGCAGAGTAAAGTACAAATCTCTTTCAACAGTTTAGAGTGGATGAGTCTGCTATGCTTTATTGGTCTAATTTTGGCTGACTCTGCTGCACTTTAATAGATAGTCCATTTGGAGTCTGCTTGCGGCTGCATTTGCTGTAGTTTGACAATATGATAGATGAAGGGGAGGGGAAAAGAAGAGAAATGAGATATGGACAAGCTGATTCTGCAGTTTATCTTTCACTGGTTTGACCTACACTCACTGCTCCTTCCTCCACCCAAAAAGAAAATGTTTTCTGTAAGAGGCCAATGGGCATGAATAAAATAATCTGGTGTATGTGTTGCAATCAGATGGATGATGTAAAATCAGGGCACCAAATAGTTCTAAAGGATTATTACTGGTACGAGTCAACAAAATGTGCCAGTTTAGATGAAAGCTAGTTAATCATTGAGAGAAAAATTACACTGATCCATATCTGCAGATTCTGTGGCAAATCACTGATCTAACATTATTCCATGCCATTTTAAATTCACATAGAAAATGATTCTGAGCTACTCTTGAAATTAATGCATAAATCTTTTAAAGATCTTGTGGATTAGGTAGTAAATAAGTGATCATTGCTAATAAGTAATGATATGCAATTAGTGCAGCAATTCAGTTTAAGCAAATTGCTTAGGTATTAAAGGTGTAAGCAACGGATCAACATAATTTTTCTCTCAGTGATTAACTAGCTTTCATCTAAAGTTGATAAATACTATAGCTGATCTTTACAAAACTCCCTCATGTAAGTATTTATGGGTTGTTCACTCAGCGTAACACACTTTATGTATTACTTCCGAACAGTCTCATCAGGTTCGAGGGAAGGGGGGGAAGGTAAATTAAGTTTAGTTTTACTACAGTAGATCTTTTGTTGCCATAGATTACTTGGAGTGAGCCAAGCAGCATGTTTGGCAGGATTCTTATTCACTCATCCATTGTGCACCTTCTGGGTTAAGAGGATAAAGCAAGCGACCTTTTCAACTACACTAAAGAATGGAATAGAGGCACCAGGAGACACTTATTGCCATGTCAAGATGCAGTAGACACTGAGCGAGGGGGTTTAGCTACACTAGGAGATATGTGTAGTTACTTAGAACTATTAGGGGATAGAGCTGAGGTATCGGGAGACTCTGGAGTACATTATGCAAGTTATGCAAACCGTATGCAAAGAATGTCTAAAACACTAGACTTAAAAACAGCTTGAAGCTGTAATGGGAAGAAAGTAGGGTTAATATCCTGGAAGGCAATGATCAAATAGGCTGAAGGGCCTACTTCATCTGATCTTGTGAAAATAGATAAGGGATCCTATTCATCACTTGATCAGTTCCAGTGAATAAACAACTCAGGATCACTGGATAGAACAAAATGAGGCAACCGTAGCTGCTTTGCTGTAACCATCTACTGTCTTTTGAAACAGGCCTTGTAGTCAGCTGCTCAGAGCTTCTAACCAACCAGCTCCAATGACTCACTGATAGTAATCATCATATTTCAGCTGCCAGTCTGAATTCTGTGTGTGTGACATACCTCCTCATTTCTGGAATCACAGAGAAATGGACAATGTTATGAAAGAAATTTACCAGAGATCGGAAAGCGGTATGAAAATGTAGTTCCTTAGCAATGAGACACAGCTCTGGTTTTAACTTTCTATTCACAAAGAAGTCAATGTTGACACTTGCTGTCTGAGCTCACTCATGTAAAATGGCCATCGGAGGGTGGCCAGTGTCTGTGAGCCGAAGAGTGGCCATAGCATGAGCCAGTGTTTTCAGGAGAGGAGGGGAGAGAATTGGAGGGGGAAATAAATACATTAAATCAATAAGAGAAGATTTTATAAAAACTCATTAACTTTATACGAATAATTAAAAAACTACAGGAAGATTTGAAGACTGTTTTTATTGTAGTAGAAATTACCGAAAATGTAGGCTCAGTGAGTGAGAAGCACAGATTAAGTGTCACTAGGGATTTGTAATCTGTTCTCAAGAGGTCAAAAATACATTTTCAATTTAGCTCAAAGAAACAAATTGCCACTCCTTCCTGACTATCCTTGACCAGATCTCAAACAGCTTTTATTTGTGCTGCTTTTTTCAAATGGGTGAAGTAACAAAGCTTCAACAGTGCTTGTCCAGGATCAAGGTTTTGTCTGCGGAGGGCATTTCTCTGCTTTCCTGACCTTGATCCTCTGGAATTTATTTTGTACTACAGCTAAAATGTCTAACATTCAGTCTTGTATAAAAGGAAAACAGACCTGGGGCCCTGTACTGCTATGTATACATCAAGTACTTTCACCTCTGCAATTAACAGAATACGACAGAAGGGTCACATCAGCACAATACACTGCCTTTGTTAATGTGCTTCAAAAATAATTATTTTGTTCTGCTTTTTCAACCCACTTGAAGTGATAATGTTGCAATGTTATATGCTCCAGGATCATAGAATATTACAGCACAGAAGGAGGCCACTCGGCCCATTGTGCCACTCCCCTGCTCTTTCCCCATAACTTTGTAATTTTTTCCTTTTCAAGTACCTATCTAATTCCCTTTTGTAAGTTGTTATTGAATCTATTTTCCCCATCCTTTCAGGTAATGCATTCCAGACTGTAACAACTCTGCGTAAAAAAAAAAAAATCTCATCTTCCCTCTGATTCTTTTGCCAATTAACTTAAATCTGTGTGCCTGCCTTGGTTATTGACCAACATGCCAGTGGAAACAGTTTATCCCTATCATATGCAAACATTATTCCCCTGTTCAAAAAGGGGCAGAAGGGTAAACCTGGGAACTACAGGCCAGTCAGCCTAACGTCAGTAGTGGGAAAAGTTCTAGACTATGATCTGGGACAAAATCAATTTCCACTTAGAAAAATATGGGTTAATAAAGGACAGTCAACACAGATTTGTTAAAGGCAAATCGTGTCTAACAAACCTGATAAGAGTTTTGATGAAGTAACGGAGAGGATGGATGAAGGTAGTGCAGTTGATGTAGTTTATATGGATTTTCAAAAGGTGTTTGATAAAGTGCCACGTAAGAGACTTGTAAGCAAAATAAAAGTCCACGGTATTAAAGGGACAGTAGCAGCATGGATACAGAACTGGCTGGGAGACAGAAAGCAGAGAGTGGTAGTGAACAGTTGTTTTTCTGACTGGAAGGAAGTGTGCATTGGTGTCCCTCAGGGTCTGTATTGGGATCGCTGCTGTTTTTGATTTATATAAATGACCTGGACTTGGGTATAGGGAGCACAATTTCCAAGCTTGCACATGAGGAAGAATGAGTACTGTGTTCAGTTCTGGGCACCAGATTTTAGAAAGAATGTCAAGGTATTGGAGAGGGTGTAAAGGAGATTTACCAGGATGGTACCAAGAATGAGGGACTTCAGTTATCCGGAGAGGCTGGAGAAGCTAGGATTATTCTCCTTGAAGCAGAGAAGGTTAAGAGGAGACTTAATAGAAGCTTTCAAAATTATGAAGGGATTTGATAGGGTGAACAAGGAGAAACTGTTTCCACTGGTGGGTGGGTTAGTAACCCGAAGACACCGATTTAAAATAGTTGTTAAAAGAAACAGAGGCAAGGTGAGGAGACATTTTTTCACACAGCGAGTAGTTCGGATCTGGAATGCATTGCCTGAAAGTGTGGTAGAAGCCGATTCGATAACAATTTTTAAGAGAGAAGTAGATAATTATTTGGGGAGGCCAAGTTTGCAGGGCTATGGGGAGAGCGCGGGGGAGTGGTATTGATTCAGATAGCTCTTTTCAAAGAGCCGGCACAGACACGATAGGCCGAATGGCCTCTTTCTGCTGCATGTCCCTCGCCTTGCTCACCCCACTATTGGTTAGCGAGCATTCTGCCACTCGGCCCCCACCCTCTGGAACTCCATCCTGCAGTCCCTCCGCCTCACCCTCTCCCTTGCCCCCTTCAAGACCCATCTCAAGACCTTCCTCTTCGACTGTGCTTTCAATCACCCTGCTTCCCCCCCTTACCCTCCACCCTCCCCAATCCCAAGCTCGGGTCCGAAACTCTGACTGTCCAGCAACTTGGGATGTCCTCCCGACATGAAAGGCGCTTTACAAATTTAATTTTTTTGTTGTTGTTCCATGCTGTATAATTCTATGATTCTACTCTATCAAAACCACTCATAATATTGAACACCTCTATTAAATCTCCCCATAAACTTCTCTGGTCTAAGAAGAACAATCCCAGTTTCTCTAAGTCATTCCACATAACTAAAGTTCTTGATCCCTGGTACCATTCTCTACATGTCAAGTTAACTTTTTTGAATTCCTTTTACTCAAAATTGTGCACATGGGTTTCAGGTGATCTGACTTTTTTTGTCACAAAGTTGGAAAAGAGTCAGATTTTAACTCACAAGCTATCATGAATCACTCTTATGTTGTTCGAGCCAGATGATGCAACAATAACTTCACACGGGCAGTGTCTTGGACTACATCTGAACATGGGTAAGGAGGGGGTATGGTGGAGGGATTTAGGCAGAGAATTCCAAAGTTTTGGAAGTTGTGGTTGAAAGCATACCCATCGATGATGGAACAACACCAACACATTACATTTGTATTGTACCTATCACATCAGGAAGACGTCCCAGGGCGCTGGACCTGAGCAGGGCGTTTGGATCAGGAGGGGTGGAGAGTAGGGAGAATAGGGCTAGGAGGGTGGCCGAAGATGTAGGTGAAGAGGAGGGTCTTGAGACATGCCTTGAAGCAGGCAAGAGAGGGAGCTAGGTGAATCAACTGTAGGATGGAGTTTCAAAGGGTGGGGGCAGAAAGACTGAAGACCCAACTGCCGAGGTGGGGCGGGCCTGGCGGGGGTCGAGGAGCAGGCCAGAGCATGCTGAGCAGAGGGACTGGACAGGTTAATATGACGTTAGCAGGTCAAAGAGATAGGAAGGAACAAGGTCATGGAGGACTTTGCAGGCAAGGACGAGGATTTTGAACTCTATCCTCTGGGGGATGGGGAGCCATGGAGCCGGGCGAGGATGGGGGTGATAGGGTGACAGAGCCTGGTGCGGGAGAGGACACAAGCTGCAGAGTTCTGGATCATCTGCAGCTTGTGGAGGGAAGAGTTGGGAAGGCCAACAAGCAGGGAGTTGCTGTTGTTGAGCTTAGATGTAATAAATGCATGGATCAGGGTTTTGGTGGCTTGAGGGGATGTTGTGGAGGTGGGGGAAGGCAGAGCGGGTCATGGCACGGATGAGGTGTAGAAAGGATAGTTGATGGTCAAACAAAATGCCAAGGGTCCGGACTGGCTTAGTAAGGTGGAGTGTGCATCCGTGGATGGTGATGCTGCCAGTGTCTGAGGTGTGGAGACGCTGATGGGAGCCAATCGGGCGGGTCTCGGTCTTGTTGACATTCAATTGGAATGGAGGGGACGAGAGACATGTAGAAGACTGAATGGAGCCAAGTGAACGAAGGAGTCGTTGATGGAATGGGGTGTAAGTTTTTGATCCTCTACAAAAGGCAATGTAAATTTCATCCAATAACTATTCAAAACCAAGTCATGTCTCATTTAGGCGATTTGTTGAGTCGTGATTGAAGCCATCAGTGCTTTGAAAAAGAGCCGTAGTTTTCTTTCAGATCTTACTTTGTGGCCTAGAGTCAACTGTGGAGTCCTGTAGTTCAGTGATTAGAGCACTCGCCTTGCAAGCGAGACACCTGGGTTCAATTCCAGGCAGGGTGAAACCTTGGGAAAGTTTCCTTACTCCACATACCTAATAATAATCCCTCCAAAACAAAAAACAATAATAAATTGGTAATTTTCAATCCACGACTATTTGTCGGACACTGCTGTGTGCAATTGGCTGCCGCGTTTCGCCCACAAATATACGGTTAATTCACTTTAAAGCATACTCTGTGAAGGGCTTTGAGATGTCTAGAAGACATGAAAAGCGCTATATCAAATGCAACGATTGTTATTATTAATATAACTGGTCAGAGGTCTCTCCTGACCTCTAACAGCGGTGCCATCAAGTTTCAAACACAATAACGCCACATACCTGATGGTTTCTAGGGCCGGAAGGAACCAAAGAGAAATGAAGTTAATGGAGTTCTGAGAATCGACTTGGCCTTCAATGACACATCACTTCAGGCAGGATATACTGAGGGCCCTATAAGGGAACAACTACATGTGCAATGTTATTTCTCCATATGCACAATGAAGTCAGGCCACTCAGAGGTATGTAAGCAAAGCTGTTATACACTGTGCCATTCTTAGTAGTTCCCCCTTCTTTTGCGTGTATCATTCTTCACACTTAAAAGAGCCAATATATACCTGTCAGGCTGGGCTTCATATCTTTCAGAAAGCACAAGCTTGAGATGACCATTGTGTAATAGAAACATCTCATTGACATGCTTAAAGGGTAATGAATTTAGAAGAGGAATGGTAACATGAATGAGGAGCTACATACCTCTTTAGCCCTCTGTACAGCATCACTTGGTGGATTTCTAATCTGTGGCGATGACTTTGTGTTGATCTTGTCATATAACTGGGGAGGAAAAACACTTCAAAATAAGGCATGAAGAGATACAAACAGTAAACAAAAGTTAACACACCCATTTCCTTTTCCTAAAATTGCTGTTTACATATACTAAGTGTAGTACAGTTGACACAATATTCATCAACATATCCCACAAGCTGAAATTGGCATTTGACACAGAAAGTGCTTTCTGGTGTTGAGCTGTATTTTGAGCAGATTTCATGACCATTCGCATAGAAATGGTTGAAGACTCCCTCTTTAGATGGCCACTAAAAGTAGAACCAGATGTGTATTTTTCCACATACAATTTAAAATCACCATCTTTCTTTTAACGTAAACATTAGCAACTGTATAATGTTTAATTAAATATCTATAAGGGGAGAGCAATGAAGCTCTCCTCTGTACTGCACGGGCAGATTGAATTTTAACGATTTGTTTAGGATGGATTATTTCTGAATCCAGCACTTATTTGACTTGAGATGTAAAGCAACACTTAACGACACACATGCAGATCCAATGACTGCATCATTTAAAACAGTCCTCCCACATTTCAGCCTCCCTCTTCCTCGTGCAATTCAATTCTTGGTAAGACATCTTTTCTGACCCATTATGATTATAATAGAGTTGTGATCACTCTTTCCCACTATTTCACGATGGTACACAAGGGAGCCTACCTTGTAATGAAGTCACAAAATACAGCTATTATTACAGCACAGTAAATATGTCAAGAGCAAAGTCAAAGTCTTCCACAAAATTACTTCTACAGAGAATCAAGCCTTCTAGATAAGAGTTTCATAGACTGTTTACAGAAATAGGCCATTCGGCTCAACCAGTACATGCCAATGTTTATACTCCACGAGTCTCCATCCACTCCTTATTCCTTCCCATACCCTTCTATTCCTTTCTCACTTGTGTATATTTAGCTTACTCTTAAATTCATCTATACTATCCGCTTCAACCACAGCTATGAGCAAAATGTTCTACATTCTCACTCCCCTGTGCATGAAGTAGTTCCTCCTAAATTCTCTTTTAGATCCCCAAGTCGCCAGCTTATACTCATATCCCCCTGATTACAGACTCTCTAACAAGTGGGAATACCTTATTTATACTAACCTTATCAAGCGTCTCTTCTCTAAACAAAAACAGAACAAACTTGTCTAGTTTATATCCATCATCTTGTCTTTTAAAAAGCTAACTTCAATAGACAGTAAGATGAAACGATGTGCAGCATAAACACTAAACTAGATAGAAAACTGCATTTAATCACAATAGTTGGAAGAAAAGGGGAGTTGACAGAAATTGTGTGGGGGGGGGGGGAGAGGAAAAGGAAATCAGTAAAGATAACAGCAACAAGAAACTAGTGCAACAGCTATTAACTGCCTGCCAAAAGTAAACCGAGCAACAGTAAATTGTTTAGGTCAATTGAAGAGGCTGCAAGGAATTGTAATATGATAATTCTGCCTTGAGCTTTTGCCATTTCTGCCAAATATAACATGATCTCAGGCAGCAAATGAAAATTCCCTTCCCTTCTCAGATTGGGTAACTACTTGGCTGAACACATCTCTGAACATAATCCTGACCTGAATGTGACACATCCATCTTCCCACTTACTCTGACCTTTACATCTTTGGCCTTTCTAATCTACTGAAACATAGCTCAAGGGAAGCTACAGGAGCTGTGTCGTTTCCCCTGGAAATTCTTTAGCCCACAGATCTGAATGTATCAGTTGGAATTGACAACATAAAACAGAGGAATCACCCAAAAATTACAGCTCTGCAAACTTTGGAAATAAGAGAAGAGCTCTAGATATAAATAAGTGAGATGCAAAAGCACTCCACTGATTGTCCAATGGTTAAAGGCCCTGCCTGCTGTAGACTTAGGCAGCAGGTGCTGAGTAAGTCTGGTATGCAACATTAGACATGGACCTAGAGAACATCAAGGTGGCTGGCATGTCACAAGTTATTTTGTAAAGGTCCTCCACTATGCAAATATCCATCAGATAGCTGATGAGGAAACTCTGAGGCTTGGGACAACAGCTGCATAAAGACGTTACTTGGAGTCGAGTAAACACAAGTTCATATATCCTGGACTTAAAATCCAGCCTGATTGGTACGCAGAAAGGGAAGTAGCTGCTGCTCAAGCTCCGCACCTCCAGGTAAGAGATAAGCTGAACTGCGTCCAAGGTGACATGCTTACCAATGGTATGTCAGAATCGAGTTAACCCTCTCTAGTTCCAGGGCCAGGTGGGGTGGATCTGTAGTACTCCGGGGTACTGTTGATGACAGCTCAGCCAGCCTGGCTTATCTGTAGGACTTTGAGGGGCAGACCAGTCACTGGGGGCAGGGATTCTTCCCACTCAGCTTCTTTTACCCTTGCAAGCCAAAGTTCTAACTGGTAGGGTGATCTGAGTTGGACAAGAAGTGAAAAAGCTTGCCAGAACGTGCTCTCAATGGCAAGCTATGTGGTTTTAGCTGGTTAGATATTTTTGGGTGTCTGACACATGTGGAAACCCATCACCATGCTTAAGAGTATCCAAACCAAACTGAAAATTCAATGCATCCCACCTACACATGGAAATTTCAGAGATAGATTGTTGGAATGGAATACGCACTCTCTCCCTGGAAGGACACATCCTGCTTTCTTAATTCTGGAAAGCATTAGGCGCAGATTTGCAGGAGCTGTGTGTGAGGATTCCGTTGCCAGACATGCCACCTCGGAGCCAGTTCAGCTCCAAGAAGACCATTCTTACCTCCCCCCCCCACCAAGGAGGATATTCACCCAGATACACACTCTGGGGACCCCAAGCCTTGGCTCTTGCCAACCTAGAACTAATACTCTCTGGAATGAGGTAAGCTGGATATGTCTTTCCAGGGTCAGAGTGTCCATTTCATTCCAATATACAGGAATGTCCATGTGTACATGGGATGCTTGGGACCTTGTTTGGCTTGAATAGTCTTAAAATGGTGATGGGTTTCAGCATGTTTCAAGACACCTGGCTGACCAAAAAAAAAAGGCTTAATCCATACAAATAGAATCACAGGTTCAAATTCTATGTTTAAGCTGGGGCATAAGAATTAACCGGAATAGCTCCTGTATGGGGAGGGAAAGGGGAAAGAGTGAAATCAGCTAGAGGTCCAACTCCAAATTGGTATCCAGTGACCCCCTTCTAGAAAGTGTGTATGGACATCAAGTGAAGACAAAATTGGGCCTTGCTGTGATGTCTTTCAGGGTCAAAAAACCAATCGACCTTCACCGTCTAGATTCACTATTGAGGAAAAAACACATGTGCAAGATGCCAACAAGCAGCCACTATCTATGGCTTCACAACGCAGCACAAACGTCCAATGTCTTCAAAGAAAATGGAATAAGAGGGGAGAAAATTAGCAAAAAATAGTGGGATGCAGAACTAAAAACAAACAAAACTTCAAGATCTATGGAACGGAAATATATTTCAATACCAAGATTACAGTAAAGAGATCAAAAGACTAATGATAAAGCTGATTAAATAGAAAAACTCTTAAATAATAATTATTAGAAGCTGTAAACAGTCAATACAGGATAACTGAGTATCGAAAGGAATATGACAGAAAAATGGATAGTGGGTAGCAGCAAGAGCGATTTTTTTGGTATATAACTAGTTGATGAAATGTCAATAACCACGATCCTATAAATGAAAAGATGGGTAGCATTGTTGGAAAATAACAGGTATGGTGAGGGAATTCTTCACATCATATCTACATGAATGAAAGTCATAGACAGATTCCTGATGTAATAATTTTGGCTTAAGAACACACAACAGATGTAAAGGATAGTAAATCTATTATGACAAAATCGAAAGCAATAAATGTCTAAAAGCAGCTGGATAGGATGATACAGAACACAGAATCCTCAAGGAAATGAGAAAAGCATATATGAGGTTTTGGTTATTATATTAATACTGTAAATCCAGTCTGCACCAGGGAAGTGGAGAACAGAAACTGTTATCCCAATATTCCATCCAGCAGTAAGATTAACTAAAGCATTGTTGTCCAATTAGTGATTCCGTCTCCAAAGGCACTGTGAGTTGCAGTGCTAGTCAGGCTATGAGACCACACTCCATCCCACATCCCCCTCGCCTCGCTCCCACCCTTGCCTCCTACAGAACATGTCTCAAGGCCCTCCTTTTCGACTGTGCCTTTGGCCAGCCTCCTACCCTTCCTCCTTCTTTATCCACCTCCCATCCCACTTCCTGCTGGGGTCCACATCCCTGACTGTCCAGCGACTTGGGATGTCCTTCTGACATGAAAGGCACTATGCAAATGTAATTTTGTATTGTATTTTGTATTGTATTGTACACAACCGATTCTCAGAATGTGCTGATTTTGTTAATTTAGCCAAAGCAAAGCTGTGATGCCCTCCAGGGCCTGCTGGCACTCACCAGCCAGCCTCACAAATGAAGAATGATGACTTGGGTGAGGTAAAGGAGAGCTGCTGATACCCATGAGACTGTACCCCAACTATACTAAACCTTTCATAAAAATGGTTACCAAAAATCCTTGGTTTGTTTTTCCACCTCCAACTGCATCATTTGTCATTTGCTGCTACTTTTCAAATCATTATTTTTTGAAAATAAGATCAGTTGAATACTAGAGGCATGGGAAATATTGGAGTATGAAATTTGCCCAACACTGGTAGAAAACAAGCTTTTATGTTTACCTTTTAAACATTATCACTCTGTATTGTACAAACAGGGAGACATGTACTTGGTTATTGCTGTTAATTTCTACAAGCATGAAGATGTAGATTGATCAAAACAGCCACATACACATATTTCCCCTGATCTAATGTTACCACTTGGGGTCAGTAAAACATTTGTATTGTTTTGCAGAAAGATTCAGTAGGGTTATCCTGACGAACAACACGTCTCAAGGCCCTCCTCTTCGACTGTATTTGGGGCTGATCCCTATTGACGTAACTTGGCTGGTAGATGAGACTAGGATTTGGCAGCTTGATAATCAGCTGGCTATGTC